CTGTTAGTGCAGTGTCCTGCTATGTGTTTAAGGTTGCCACCCCATGCTATCAATACAGAAGTGTCTAATATTACCAATCCTTATAGCTTAATTTGCTTTCCCTTAACTGTGAGCATAGTGGAATCCTGAATGTTAAATGTTCTGCTATTTTTCCAGTGGCCCTTCCTAACAGTTGCTTTTTAACCACCTAAACTTAATCTGATTTCCTTCTCCCTCAAACTCTATGCTCCTATTAAATTCCTGTATCTGTCAGCCTATCCTATCCCCATCTCTTTCAAGTTTTTTTTCTCACCCAATATGTTTTCTTTCTGAGTCCTTTTTCTTTCTGCAGTTTTTACTCAGACATTTCCCTAAGCATGATTCTCTATCGATTCTGTCATTTGCTTGCCTGCATGACCAAATCCAGTACTTTGTACTGTCTTTGCCTAGTTTCCTTCTGTTACTACATATATATATATGTATTTATATATATGTATATGTGTATATATATATGTATACGTATGTGTGTATATATATATTTTTGTAATTGTGTGTAATTATATTTTTTCTATGTTCGTTTCAGTGTTAGTGTGAGGTCTTGAGGCTGCATATACTTTGAGTCTGAAAGCAAATGAAATTGCACTTTCAGTGTACTGTAGGCAATGTGTTCCAGGACTGTGATGTGACAATGTGGCCTAACACATTTATTCACATCAACTGGAAGCACACAGCATTGGCGTTGGTTTTGGTAATCAACTCAAGCATGCTGTTGACCTTCCAGTTTTCTTCTGTGCATATATATATATGTATGGGGATATAAAATGCATATATATATATATATGTGTGTGTGTGTGTGCGTACGCGCGCGTGTGTGTGTGTGCGCATGTGCGCACATGTGCGTGTATATATCTTTCGCATGGTGTTTGTATATTGTTAGTATGCAGTTAGTTAACTGTGGGGCCCTAATAGGTCTGAATCAGCCTTTGAATGAATGTGCCTAATAATATCCTCAAGTAAATATAGAATAATTCACATGGTGTGCAGACAAAATTCTTGTTTAGTCTTGTATTTATTTTATATATTTTTTCTGGCAGATCAGAATAACACATTAAAAGGTGAAATTGTGTCTGTACACTGCATGTGGTCTGTATGCAAGACTGTTTCTTTTTTTGTATATGTTATTACCTTCTTCTGTGTTTTGTTCCAGTTCGACGGGTCCCACCGAGGTTCTCTATCCCCCCCACCAATCATGAGATCATGCCTGGCGGGAGTGTAAATATCACGTGTGTTGCGGTGGGGTCACCAATGCCATATGTGAAATGGATGCTAGGAGCAGAAGATTTGACACCTGAAGATGATATGCCAATAGGGAGGAACGTCCTTGAGCTTAATGATGTCAGGCAGTCTGCAAACTATACTTGTGTTGCTATGTCTACCCTTGGTGTTATAGAAGCTGTAGCGCAGATAACTGTCAAAGGTATATCCCAAGCACATATATTTGGGCATAGTTCAGTCTTTTCTTTCATTCGTTGCCATATCCTGAGCAAATATATTGCACTGAAAGGGACTAAATGCATCTTACCCTATTAAATCAAAAGGGTAAGTAAATATTCTAGCCAATCAGTGGCATAAGACTAAATACAGATTCAGACAGCAGTAATACTGAAAAATAAGTTAATCGTAATGTGCCATTTTTCTCCTCTATCTAGCTCCCAGCCTTCATTTCAAGTAAATAAAGAATCTTGTAATCTTGCACATACTTGTCAACAGCAGGAGCCTTTAAGAACCAGTCATTGGATTTTTAGAGTTGCTGGGTGTCCAAGTATCATGTTCACTAAGTAATTGGAAACTAGAGGTTCCAAAGAAATCTGAAAATTAAGATGTAATGGTGCACTGTCTGTCTATAAGATTCTGTTTCTGCACATGTTTACGGGATCTATAACAAAACCCAGTATCATTAATTTATGTCAAATAAACTTTACACTACAAAGATTTTCTGACATATTTCTGGAGTAAATCATAATTGCCAAAAGCTTGCTCTGAATAGGTCACACCTTCTTTCCATCCCAGTCTTCCTGTTTTGTTTTTGTTATTGTTGTTTGTTTTGGTTATTAAGCTACTTACTGTAATAATTAATGTCTTATGTAGTGCTAACTATATTTTTTGGAATTTCTCTTTAGCCTTACCCAAACCTCCTGGAACACCTGTGGTAACAGAAAGCACAGCGACAAGCATAACATTGACTTGGGATTCTGGAAACCCTGAGCCAGTTTCCTACTACATAATCCAACACAAACCCAAAAACTCCGAGGAGCCATATAAAGAAATTGATGGGGTGGCCACAACACGCTATAGCGTGGCTGGCCTCAGCCCATATTCAGAGTATGAATTTCGGGTAGTTGCTGTAAATAACATTGGGCGAGGGCCACCCAGTGAGCCTGTGTCAACAAGGACTTCAGAGCAAGCACCTTCAAGTGCACCACGCAATGTGCAGGCCCGTATGTTGAGCTCTACCACCATTTTGGTACAGTGGGAAGAACCTGAAGAACCTAATGGGCAAATACAAGGATACAGAGTTTATTACACCATGGACCCCACTCAACACGTCAACAGTTGGATGAAGCACAATGTGGCTGACAGCCATATTACCACTATTGGCAATCTGGTACCCCAGAAAACATACTCTGTGAAGGTTCTTGCTTTTACTTCTGTTGGGGATGGACCACTTTCTAGTGACATTCAAGTCATCACTCAGACAGGAGGTAAGAGAGCATTGAACAGAATTTGTATGAAAAAAATAAATGGGTAAATTTTGCAGAGAGAGAATTTGAGTTTAAAATGTTGAAAAAAACTTCCTGTCAAGGATAGCCAGTTTATTCAGGCAGCTTTTGCAGATAAATTTTCTCAATTCCATAGTGAAAGTTATCATTGAGAAGTGGAAATTATCCCCTCACACTTTAATTTCTCTTTTCATAAATCTCAAGATGTTTAACAGAAGTTTAATTGAAGTCCCAGGAAGACCTTAATCCTGGAGGTAGCCAAATGTTATGGCTTCTATTTGGCAGTGCACTGAGCACTAAAAGTGTTTGTCAAGTAGCCCTTCACAGCTTGCTTTTGGGAGTTAGCTCTGTTGGTGGGTATTGCTTAGCTGCTGTGTTATTCCCTTATGCTACATCAGTCTAGTGAATCTTGCTTGTGGAAATTTAAAATATATGTGTACTGCCTGTGAATTCAAATAGTTGGTAAACTTCTGAAAACACATAAAATATGAAAGCATTACCTTTGTGTAGGTTCAAGCAAGCAGTTCTACACACTTTGGATTTATAAATCAAATTCAACCTACCCCTAGAAAGCGTTTATCACAAGGTCACCATTTTTTACTTTTTTTATGTTTGCATTTAGGTTGTTTTGTTTCTGTACAGGAGTTTTAGATCCATGAATTAGTTTTACTAGCAAAGGACAAGCAAGCATAGTGAAAAACATTGAAGAGAATTTTTATAAAATCAAAAGTGAGAAGCTCTGGTGGAGCTAAACTGCAGAAAGTGTTTTATTGTAGCAATAAGAAATGAAAGATCCCTTTGTCTAGCAGTTTAGAGAAAGCTGTATGGAGTATTACTATAGGTCAGTGATTGCCTAGAAATATTACATAATACTACTTGAATTTTTTAGTACTGGAAAGTTTTGTGTTGAAGAATTTAGCATCCCTCAGGTTTTTAAAAAACTTATCTCTAAAGTGTAACTGAAGACAGTTATGTTTCATCCACATTTTACTTCTGTGTTTTACCAATATGCATTTAATAAAGAACAGAAATTGAGGTATTGTCCTGGAACCTTTCAAAGTGTTATGTTGCACAAAGTTAAAGATGTTACCTTTTGCAGTATCTCTGCTTAGAAGTTAGTAAATAAACTTTGTTGGACCTTCTAGTGCTACATTAAAATGTGTCTGTGTGCACATGCATATGTAAATATGTACATCATAGTTTACTTTTGGCAATTCTAACCTTTTTTGTGTCTAGTTTTTATACTGACATCTGACTTCTTTTTGAATCCATGTGCAAAAAGATTTTAAAGAAAAAGGCTTAGTGGGTTCCTCATCTGTGTTTTCACGTTCAACCATAAGCCTTTTAGGTTGGTAGGAGTTTGTCAGTGGCTTCACCAGAGAAGGATGAAGCAATCAAAATAATGAGCACGGAGGCTCAGCTGGACTGACCCAAGTTACATTACTTGCTGAGGTCACTTCAGAAAAGCTCTGTTTATTAAGACCTTTATAGAACTTGCCATTAAACCTGCCTATCTGTTTCTGATTACTGTTTCAATCTGAAGAAATTATGACAATGTTAACAGTGCAGGAGGGATTCTCAATCCATTTTCAACTTCATAGCAGAGTTAATTTGACATTTTTTATTTGTAACTATGTTAAAAATCAAAATAAAACTAAAAATGTGGCATACAGGAGGCATTTTTAAGCACTGATACTTGTGGTTGAAATATGAGTATTTCAAGTCATAAAAGAGAATAGGTAAGAAATTCTAGGGCAGTTCTCCAGTTCAGGGTATGTTTAAAAACAAAGATTCTCCTGTCTTTTCTATCCAGCAGTTTCTCTTCAGTGAACACTGAAGAACAAAATGTCCTTTTGTCCCTTCTCTTCTAGATTTGCTTTAGTATAAATCTGAATATGATTGTTTTAGTTTAAGTCTCTCTCAAGCTGAAACTCATCCAAATAAATATGGTGAATATGGTGAATAATAAAGTGGCAATTAAGAACATCAGAAATGGATTTAATGAAAACGTGTAAGAGTAAAAATAGGAATGGAATGGTGAATATGTTTTGATTGATTTTTACTTTTTTGAAACAAATAAGCCTATCATAAATATGTAGCTTAGCCCCTATGCTTACTTTGGGGATATTAGAGTATATATACAACAAAATCTGATTGATACCTGTAACTTACAGGCTCCGTTAGCTTGGTTTCCTTCAAAGTTTTCCTCCCTTATGAGTATTCTGATCATTGGAGAGACATTATAAAAAAAATAATAATTTATTAAAGAAAGAAAATTGTTTACGAGAATCTTGGCTTCCTTAGTACAGCAGAATTGTTCTTTTGAAATGGCTGTATAAGTTGCTTCTCACTTTGCAGGTCGACCAAAACTCTGCAGATAGTGAAAATTAGGTTTATAATTAAAATTTTTGCTAGGAACATATAGTTTGAGGGTAAGAGAAGTATGAATTTTTCAGACAGCCAAACAAACAAAAAAAAAAGTTCAGTTTTCTGTTCTGATATGCTGCTTAGGCATTTTGAGAAAAAAAACATGTCCAATTGCCCGGTTGTTTTCATCAATCTTTACTGTAGAAAGACACCACTTTAAGAAATCCGGTAATAAAAAAACAGCTGTAGATCCGAGCCTTTCATATAAGGAAAGATCAATTTGAAAAGCTACACCTAAGAAAGCCCTTACTCTGCATTTTGGGCCATATGATTTGCTTCTGCTGAGATGGAGTCAGGACCAGTATATTATTTAGGTGAATTGACTTACTAACACTAAATTTTAGAATAAAGAAATATTGGTATAAACTTTAGTGTGATACTTACTGTCCTTTTTCTTTACCTCACTAGAAAACAAGAGCTCTGTTGGTTTATCTCCATTTAGTTGCTTGGGACACACTTCTTATGTACCTTCTCATATTCCCTTTTTTTGCTTAAACTGGTCAGAAGTACACATACTCTCTGAGCAACATAATTCAACCTTTACATACCAGGAAAATTCTTGAGCTTTAAACTGGATGTCTGGGCTTGGGTTTGGTTTGGTTTATGGTTTTTAATGTGCAAACAGAGGATAGCAACTGAAGGAATTCAGAGAATCCTATTTTTACTCTGAGCTTAAGTAGAAAGAGAGGAGAGTGAGAGATATACAAGGTCTCTTGGGTAGTGGATTATTGGAGAAATCGAGAGAAAAAAATTCTGGGAAATGTCTGTAAACGTATGCATCTTTAAACAAGAATTTACAATATAAAACATAATGTTAATTTTAAATCAAGGGTTGGCAGTGGTTTGAAGACTAAGGATTACTACAGTTATAAAAGGCTAATTTTTCTAATATATGGCAGAGGACAGTAATGAGAATGTCAAGTATCTGACTTGCAGGACACATAAATGGAGCCTTATCTTAAAGGAAATGTGTTAATGGTTCTGGAGTTCTTTTGTAAAAGATTAGAAATTGAGAGGAAGGGAGACTGTAGCAAGGGAATACAGTTCTGTGTTGAAGCAAGCTAGCTACTTTGCCAGACATATCAAATTTTTTCATGAACATATGAGTGGGGAAACCTCATGTATCTGAAACTTCACAGTACTAGTCTCCTAGTGAAGCATTTCCTAGAAATGGATTTCCATGAGGGAAGGATTGAGAGCATGAAGCTGGAAACTCAACTGTAATGCAAGGAATCAGGTGGAAGGAGAAATATTTGAAGCTGGAGTGGGCTGTAGGATGGTTTTTAAGTGACAAAATTCCCCTAGAGGCGCATTTCTGGTCAGGTAGGAAAGAATATTTCAGCTTTTGAATAACTCCTCTGTCCTCAAAGCACAGTTAACTCCTGTTATGTGCCCCAGTCTCTGTTTGCTTCATTTAAATGCTAACAAGATGAGACCAATATTGAGGATCTTACCTTAGATTTTTCTTTACTCTAGGGTTTTCTAGTTTTTAATCTCACTCTCTTTTTTTTCTGGTTAGAATATAAAATAGGGTATGGATATAGGATTTTTTTTTAAAAATCTGATTCTTTTTCTAGTCCAGAATTCTGATTTTTGCAAATATGTGCATGAGTATTGGAAATGTGCACACACTACTTTTGTCACTGAACTTAAGTATGGAAGAATGCAGCTTGAAATATTTTTAAGACAGCTCTACTGCTACACTGTAGAAATAGAGTGTAGACAGAATAATGAAGAATAATTCATCTCTTCACTGTGTTCTCTACTCATTCAGACAAGACTATGCAGACTTTGTCTTTAAGACTGACTGACATGTTTTTTTTTTATTCTGTGGGCTCCCTCAATGTCAGTTACACATAATATTGTAAGAAAATGATTTATGGTTTTCTGGTTATTTTTTACAAAATGTGCTATGCTTTTTCAGCATTTGAAATGTATTGTAGTTAATTATTTTGAATACTGTGGTTCTGTACTTAATAGTTCAGAATGGCGAGCGTCAGCTATCTTCAGACTCACTTGAAGAGGTTATTTCTGTTGTAGCAGAAATACAGAGTGGGAGCAGGATGCTTATATAATTAGTACATTATCCATTTTATTTTGTAATTATATTCCATGAGAATTTGGTATATCAAAAAGTACAAGTATTGTTTTCCAAAACAAAAATTCCGGAGCACATTAGTTCTTCAATTATAAGAGCTCTGTAGATCTTACTGCTTATTCCAGAGCAAGCAATAGCATGAATTCTTGGTCCCTTTCAGTTCTCAACTGACTGTAAATTCTCTTAATCTATCTATTGTTCTTTGCAAAACTGATTCCTGATTGAGCTGATAGAGTTTTGCTCTATCTATGGGCTTCACCCTAGCAATTTCATGGGGTCCCTCTCTAGCCTGAAGACTCTCCTTCCTTTCCAGGATCACTTGCATAATCGGTACAGCCCTGGAGTGTTTTTCTGGCTATCTCAACAAGCTGAGAAGCTGTGTAGGGAACTGAAGTGCTTTTCCAATTTGAGATCCCATTTTATGATTCTGTTCTGGCACTTGAATCAGGAATGGACATAGAACCACATATTCAGGACAAGGTCCAGCAATCTGTGTTTGTTTCTGGTTATCTGGCAATAAACGTGGAGGACTAGTCAAGCAAAGGTGTAGAACTTGGTGAAGGTTTAAAAAAAAGAGTAATTCTGGACTCTGTTCTTTGCTTTGTCACTGCACTGTAGTGTTTCATCATATGTACTACCTAGGTTGTGTCATGTTTACAAGCAAGAAATAAGAAGAGGTATAGTCAGTGCTCAGGAGAGTTATGGATTTTAATATACATTTGTAGAGCACACTGACCTAAAAGCAGAAAATATGGAAAACACAATATTGAGAGAATGCTCATGCAGAAAGATCCTGCTCAGTGAGCTGACCATGTACAGCACTAATACGGAAAGTTAGAGTTGATCTGTGTAATTAAAAACACTTCAGCAAGAGTATAAAGTCCATTTACATAGATTTTCCAGTTTTCCTAGGTTTTTTCCATCTCTGAAGGGGACCAGTACCTTCTGTCAGCTCCTCCAGTTTGGCTTAGTTCCCATATGCCACTGAAGAATTTTTTGAACAGATATTGTGTGTTCTAGGCATAAATCCTAAATAGTTTAAAAGTTATCATTCCACTTCCTTATCTGGTACTGTTTCTTTGGCTTAAGGCTTGGGTTCCCTACCAGAGTTTATCAGCATTACAGTTTGTTTAGTTTCTGTTATTTTGGTTTTGCTTTCTTTCTTCTCTATCTTCTCTATCTGGAGCAATGCAGCTTTCCTTGTGACATCTTTCTTTCATCACTGTTTTCATCCTCAGAATTGTCTAACTGTGGTTGAAAAATGTGAGGGGAGACTAGATTTTGCAGCAAGATATTATTTTGATGAACAGCATTTGGAAAAGTCCGATTAGCTATCAACTTGTATAAAATGATAGAGAATTATAAACCTAAGACCATAAAGGGTTTTTCTTTAAAGGAATACTTGGAGGATGACTGTAAAATGTGCACAGAGACAGGAAATACCCTTTGTTCTCCATCTGGTGCCATATTTATCATAATGGATGGTACCAGCCTTCATATGGATCACTTGACGAGTAATTTATTATTATTGCCTGGCTGTGTACCCATATGTTAAGCACATATCATAGCATCACAGGATGATTCAGGCTGGCAGGGTGAACTTCTGGGGAGGTCTCCAGCCCCAGCCCTGCCCAGAACAAGCTCAGCTGTGTTACCAGACCGGGCTGCTCGGGGTTTCACCCAGTTGTGGTGTAAAATCCCCCAAGACTGGATATAGCCCAGCCTCCCTGGGCCCCAGCCCCACCACTGGCCTGTCCCCATGGGGAAAAAGTCTTCTCCTTACCTCCAGCCTGAGCCTCTCATGCTTCAGCTTGTGCTGCCTCTCACCAACCCACCACCCACCCACCGCTGTGAAGAGCCAGGCTGCATCTCCTCCATCCCTCACGCTGGGGCCAGGGATGCTGTTGGGTGCCCTCAAAGCCGCCCCTTCTCCCAGCTGAACCAGCCCCAGTCCCTCAGACTCTCCACACAGGGCATGGGCCCCAGCTCAGAGCTGTCTTGCTGATGCCCAAAACCAGTTGGAGTACCTGCATGTGGTCTGATGGACACTGAGCAGAGGGAAAGTCCCTGCCCTATCCTGGCTCTCCAGCCTGTCTCCTGCTCACACCACTGCAGGCACCACTGGCCCCTGTTGCTACCTGGGCACACGGCTGGCTGTGGCTCAGCTCGCTGCCCTTCAGGGCCCAAGGCTGTCCCCTGCAGAAGCTCCCTGGCATTATCAGCCCCAGCCTGCCTTCCGTCAGGGCTCTACCTTCTTGATACAGGGCATTCTGACGTTCATAGGGAACCATCGGCCTCTACGTCGCCCCTCTCCAGCTCCCTTTTAGCAGCCAGCCCTCGAATGTGTCAGCTGGTCCCCCCCAGCTTGATGTCTTCTGCAAAGCCAGAACGTGTGCCCTCCATCCCTTCCTCCAGGTCACTGATAGAGATGTCAAACACAGGATGGATAGAATGGCACAGATAACATAAACTGCTGCTTGACCTTCCATGACGAGGCAAAAGTGATTTTGTAACTCCCACCGTGCTGCTCAGTTGCTTTGCCAAAATACTTTTTTCCCTATCCTTTGATACACATTGAATCAAACAATTTTTTTTCCACAGGTCAGTTTTACCAGTTTTTATCTCTATGTCAGATGAAGCAAACAAAATGCCTACAGCCAGGTACCCACCTGAGTCTTGTGAAATATATTTTGAAAAACCTGTAGCAAAATAAATGCTTCCAAATAGCTGCCTAGACTCCAGATTTTATTATTCAATTTTGGTAAGCCTGCAGTGGGGCTCCACATCTTACTTTAAGCAGTGTTCAACAAAAGGCAAATCTGCAGCTGTTGTCCAGTTGTTAGGAGTGTTTTGAAATAACTAGCCTAAAAAGTTGTAATGTTCACCTAGTAAGTGCATTTATACAACTGTGCTATAGATTTGCCAAGTTAAATTTTGATCTAGTAGTATTTCAGATTCTGTTCTCAAAGTTGAGAATTATCCAGTTAGCCCACTCTCTCCCTCTTAATTCCAAATCCATTCAAATTAAAAAGGATAAAATGAGAAGTATTTCTGTTAAAAATACTTTGTTGATATTTCCTGTAATTCCTTCTTGATCTTTTCCCTTTTGCACTTTGCAGTACCAAGGAAGTGGCCTCTGTACACCAGACATCTTTTAGAAAAACAGCTAATTACTCCTATCCTTTCTTCTTCTTGTAAAGAGACTTGGTGTCCTGTTCACCCTCACTCATTCCCTCAGAAATTGGCAACATCCTTCTACACTGTTCCTGTTCTATTTTTTTTTTATTTATGGGAAAAAAAAAAAAAAAAAAAAAAAAAAAAAAGTGAATGGTAGGGACATACAACCTCCACACAGGAGATTGAATATACACCTCATGTTGACGGGTTATCTGTCTGCTTAAAGGTTAGATATCAAACCTGCACCAGCATACACAAGAGCAGTGTTATCCTCAGACTGACGTTCTGTAGAAGCTTGAGGAAGATAAGAATTACAATCACAAATTACTTTTACCATTTGCACCATGATGGTTTTAAGTCTTTTACTGTACAGAAGAAACACACTTATAATGCTATAATAAAATTCTACCCCGAACAATTATTGTGAAATGATGATTATTGCCACATCCTACTTGTCACACCTGTTCTCAGTATGTTCTAAGAAGTACTTCTGGTATTATTTTTCTCAAAAAAATAAAAGCATGCCACATTTTATTCTTGAAAAACTGGAAATGCTGTGGAAGACTGTTTCATGCCTTAACAACAGTACTATTAACTGTAAATAATGTTTTAGAACTTGGGTGCCAAAATGATTGTATACATTTCAATGACAAGGTTATATTTTGCTGTCTTTTCCCAGTCAACCTTATTATTCGCCGTATATTTGCAGGAGTAAATGAGGGTATCATTTAGTGTGGATAATTTCTGTGATGATAACAACAGAGGATGTTCTTGACTACTGGCATCAGAGTTTCATTTTGGTTCTTGCAATTAGAAATTGTTGTGACTAGAAATTCAGCTACGTTGGTAAAAATACGTGTCATTAAAAGGGTAGAAATATGTCACTTAATGAGAACATTGTTGAAGATCTCTTCAGTAGGTTATAACTTCTTCAGGTTACAAGAACATACAATGTTTACTTGTCTCCTTAAAGAGCAGGATGTGTTTAGTACCTTAGTTAATTATGAGCTGAGCAAACCGTTTGCAGATTATGAAATACATGTAATGGTTTGAACACTTTCTTCCTGACTATTCCAACCAATCTTATGTAATACTAATATTTCCCCATAAACACACACATATATACAAGTAAGTATATATTCGCCTTTTCACACATAAGTTGTTAGATTGCTGGTATTCGTCACATAATTTTCACACATAAGTTGTTAGATTGCTGGTATTTCTGTGTGCATTTTTTACACTGTAAAACATTTATCTGAAATCCTTGATAATTTGTAATGTGTAAATTAAAAATATCATTATTTTTTTTTCTGAGCTCAGATTATTTTATTTCATAATACAGTTAATTTAAGTTCAGTAAGTTCAGTAAAAATAATATTGTATGAAATAGTCAGATAATAGTTTAAAAGGTTTGAAAGGTAAGAGTTGAACTAGACAAGTAAACAATTGGCAACACTGCTTTTTCTTTAGTGCCTGGTCAGCCACTGAACTTCAAAGCAGAACCAGAGTCTGAAACGATCATATTACTGTCCTGGACACCTCCACGCTCTGATACCATTTCCAGCTATGAACTGGTTTACAAAGATGGGGAGCATGGGGAGGAGGTAAGTGAAAAGACTATACATCTTTTAAATACTCTTTAATAGTCGGACATAAAATGCTGCAATGGTTAAAATTGATGGATTAGTAACTTCCTTTAGGACAAATGCCTTGATTAACAGTTTGTTAAACCCCACAGTCAGTTTAACAATAGACTGGGAGTGTGTATACAGCAGAAAATGCTGTAGATGGTTACCAGACAGTGGAACTTTGCTGTTGTTCACAATGAGTCATTCACACAAGTTGCATCCAGTTTCAGACATTGATCATGTCTCTCCAAAACTGTTCCTCTACAAAGGCTTGGAAGCAGTAGTGTTTTGGGCATATCATGGACTCGTTAAGATTTTTTGTACTTATATTAGGACTTTGAAATCTGTTTTCAGCCTTAGAGAATTTTTGTTTCTCTTTGCCACCATATAAGAGAGTTCTCAATCTTCTCTACTCTTTCAGTAATATTTGAGAAGAAAATACGTGTTTGTTTTTTTTTTTTTAATTTAAAAACCTGCTGTGGACCTTTTCTGTACCATTATTTCTTAAAGAACTTTCAGTTTGAGGGCCTCTGTGGTGTTAATACCATAGACTTTAAAATAAACAGTTCTTCTGATATGGAAAACATGGTATTACCAGATGTCCCAGACAAAGAAGCCAGCAGTTTCAGAAGGCAGCAGGAGATTGTCAGCCTCATTGATTTCTCCTCCATCATCAACTCATTGCTGATGCTTCAGTTGAGCTTATGTTTATGGTGCCTTCACACATATACTGTGAATGCATAAGCTCATTTTGTTGAAGGGGGGCAGATCCATATTTCACCTCCAAACAGGTTGCAGGTCTCTGCTTAGTAAGATACCCTTTGGAAGAATTTGCTTCTTAATAATTTGAACACAAATTTAACTATGAGATTAAATCCAAGGTTATTCACATTATAAAATTCTGTATTTTACTTCATAAGAGGTAACTATAGGTAAGGCTTTGTTCATGTGTTATTGTCTGAAAAGCCTTTTATACTTTGTACACAACTATTACTTCCTCTGACATTCAAATAACTTCTCTGTCTCTGAGTTTGACTTATTAAGCTGTTAAATTTTTAAAATATTGCTCCTTAATGCGTGTTTGTCAAAACCAATGCATTAATTTTTGTTTCGTTTTAGTTTGGTTTTGTTCTGATGCATACCCTTGAATTTACTTTTTTTTTTTAATGGGATTATCTTCAGTATAAAAGAATTTATTCTGTAGGCAACATATGGAATTCAGAGTCTCTGAATATTAATCAGGACATCCTCTTATTACCTACCTTTAGCAACGGGTTTCCACTGAACCTACTACATCTTATCGCCTGCAAGGCTTAAGGCCAAACAGCTTGTACTTATTCCGTCTAGCTGCACGTTCTCCACAAGGCCTGGGTGCTTCAACAGCAGAAATCTCAGCAAGAACCATGCAGTCAAGTAGGTGTTTTTCCTTGCTAACTTTATTCCCTTGTCTTGTATTTCTCGAAGAGATTAATGTCATTAGCCCAGAGAGGCAGCAACAGCAAAAAAGGCAAAATAATAAAAATAGGGCATTCATGCTACTTAACACAGCAAAAGAATGCTTAAAATGTGTATTCTTGTAGATGTGTTGTGATCAAATTAGGATATGAGTCTCTTACATAGTTTCAGAAAAAAACTGTAAACCAGTGTCTAAGGAGACAATATTATGCTGTCATAGTAATATTTTATGTTATAAAAGGATAAAATGTTTTATCATGAAGTAGATGTACATCAATAGCAATCCTCCACCTGTAAAATTCCACCTGCCCAGTCTGCAGATTTCCTGTAATACTAGGTTGTTCCTGCAGCATCTCCCTGAAGGGTACCCTGTAGGGTGGGTCAGGTTGAATATTTCAGACTATACCAAAAATTTCCTTATAACTGTTTTTCTATAGTAGCTAATCATTCCAATTTTAAGTTAGATTTTTATAATCGAGGGTTTTTGTGACATTTAGTAATTTTTTATACCAATAGAAAAAATGTTTTTTCACTGGATGCTTATGGAGACAATGTCATGAAACTTACCATATTTGTCTGCAAATGAGATGTAAAAAAATTTCAGGAGTTATATATACATTTTAAAATATTTAAATTAAGACTTAATTAAAACAATTAGATATTCAAGGATGACATCCAGAAGTGCTACTCTTGCTTGTTATGCTTTCCTGATAGTTTGCATTACACTGTGTCATTTTAAAACTTAGTGTGATTCTACTTGTATTTGTTTTAAATTAAATGGCCTTTTCTTAAAGTAATATTATTCAAAACAGAAAACTCAGATTCCCAGTTGACATGAGGCTTTTTAATTTGCAATCATGACAGATATGATTAGACCATCATTATTTGTTAGTGTTATACATTAATAGTAATTAGTGTGATTGGAGATACAGTGCTTGCAGATTTTTAACCAAAGCTAAATCTGCTTCTGAGGCATTTCTAAGGCATTCGGAATAAGCATAAAAGATAATTCTATAACACAAGGCTAGTTTTAGAAATAGTGGCAAGACACCTTTTAATTTAAGTAACTCAGAATTAATAATTTGATGAAGAAAAAGGTATTTAGTTATTCTGGGAACCATTTCAGCAATTTAGCATGCTTAATCTCATATTGGGTGAAGACTGCTTAGGCTGTGCATACAAAATAAACATCTAGGGGCCAAGGTTGCATGTTCCATATATAAACACATTGTTGTTTCCCTTCTCAATGTAAGAATATGTTATGCTTTTTTCAGCTTTATGTCTTCAGATAGTAGGAAAATCCAGTCGATTTCAGTGGGCAGACCCTGCTTATTTGCTGAAAAGATTGTGAAATCCTTTATGCAAAAATTGTGTATTTTAAGAAAAAATTATGTGCATTAGTAAATCTGGTTACACAAGTAGCCTACAGATTATCCTTAGTTACATAAGTGCAATATTTTGCATTTTCATAGTACAATGGATTAAAAATTAATAAACTTCTATGAGTTAATTAGCAATATTCACCAGAATACACTACTGCCTTTCAACTTGGTTTCAGAGAAAGATGCTACAGGGATTTATTTATTTAAATATAAGATCCTTAATGGTCATTTTACTTGTATTTTACTTCCTGCACGAGTCAATGGTAGAAGGGGACCAACATGTTTTGAGTACTTGATTACTGGATTAGCCTAAAAAAAAACCAACAAAAAAAAAAAAAACAACATGCAAATGTGATAATTCTGATCTGTCCCTCCATCCACCTCCTCTAGTTAGTTGAAATGCTGGTACATTTCCTCCTGTTTTTCCATCAAAAGAGAAATGTACCATAATGAGTAAAAAGCCACTGATCCCTGTAGAAGAGCTGTAGGGAATCAAAAGATACACGTGTAAATGCAATAAGTCACAGCAGGGTCCTAGGCCTTCTCTGTTGCTTTAATTTTGTTTGATGTGCCTAGTATAAGTACCAGAAATGCACTTGTTTCTTTTTTCCCTTAAGGAATGGGAAGAAAATAGGAGACAATCCCCCAACAAACAAACCAAAAAGCACCATAAAGATCTTGCACCCAAAATTTATGTTTTCCTTACAAGAAATAAGGCAGAAGTTGGGGTCCATGTCTACCACTCCTGCTGGTGAATTTGAACTATGGCTCCTTTTTTGGTTCTCTGAATGATTTCACTTAGTATGTATAGACTTTGCTAAGTCAAAGTGCATTTAAGCACATAAGTTCATACCTAACTTTCAGTGGTTGAATTGCATCACTGAAAGCAATGGAATGACATACATGCTTAAATGCTCTGAAGCCTGGAAAAGGTAACTATGCTAACAGACTCCTTTTAGTACAAATCAGTCATGGTGAGAACTTTTGCTCTAGAAGATTGGTGCTGGTGATAAGAGGTGAAACAAAGTCAGAATCTCTCACCGTACTGATGTACTGAGCTTGTGAACACTCTGTAAAATTAATACCTGCTTTCTTGATACTTTGTTTGGGGGTAGATTTTTTTTTTTTCCTATATAAGTTGCCTACATTACTGGTAGGATTTAATTCTTTGCTAGCAAAGGTGTCTCCAAGAGGAGTTAAAAAAATAAAACTGACAGCTGATCTAGGGTAAGTACAAGTTACAGTCAGAATCAACAAGCCTGTCACTTTTTCCTGGTAGGTAAATCTTTGACTAAGACTTTCTTCGTCTGCGATTGACTGCATGCTTCTAGAATGTTGGCTACAATAAATGTTTCAGTAAATGCTTTCCATCTAAACCTAATTTGCGGTTGACTTGTGCCAGGCAGACTCAGTTATTAAAAAAAAAAAAAAAAAAGAAAGAAAAAACATACTTTTATGAGAGTGGGGAGGCTATAAAAATGGCAATTTATGGAGAAATTTCTAGCAATTATTGCAAGTTTTTAGGAGTTCTGTAAAAGGAGAATTTTTATCAAAGAAAGTAAACCCACTTTAGGGGAGATGTCCAAATTTGCAAATAAATACATGTTATGTATCATTTAAAATATTATAGCTTGCATTAATTGCAATGATTAAAAAGATAGATCAGTAATCATAGAAGTGTCACGTTTTTGTTTTATTTCAAGAAGAATTTTAATTACAGGTAGGTAATATTGTTTTGAGGTTCATTTTCATGTATTTCCCCTACATCCTTTTTCACCATTTAGTTGATCTTTTCATTTTCAGTTTCCTCACATTAATAAGCCAAGGTGCATATGATTATCTGATGTTTTGCTTTTTTAAGTTTCTACTCTTTTTGGTTTATTTTTTATTTTCATTTGGCTGTCTTTTATTTATTTTTATTTTTTCTTTTGTTCATTTTTTTCAATCACTCCTATCCTTTCACTCAAATCCTCCTTTAACCCACTACTGAAATTAGAGCCATCAGCTCCTCCTCAAGACATTAGTTGCACAAGCCCCAGCTCCACTAGCATTTTGGTAAGTTGGAAACCTCCACCGGTGGAAAAACAGAACGGCATTATCACTGAATACTCCATCAAGTACATTGGGATTGATGGAGAAGATGTCAAGCCCCATGAAATTTTGGGAATTTCCTCGGACAGTACCCAATACCTTTTGGAACAGCTGGAAAAATGGACTGAGTACCGGATCTCTGTGACTGCCCACACTGATGTTGGACCTGGCCCGGAGAGCTTAGCAGTATTGATTCGGACAGATGAAGATGGTATGTTGCCTCCACTACATCAGTTTGCGCCTCTGACTCTCTGTCGATCTGCTGTCTTTTGTATAGCCTAACAATATATTTTTCTGCTCCTCTTTTTTCCCAAATCACAGATATTATCACCCTTTGAGTTTTTTAATCAAAGACTTGTCCTTTCTACACCATTTTTATATTTGGTATTTTTATTTTTTTTTTAACAGAAAGTACCTTTTTGTGAATGACATGAATCTGCTGCCCCTTTAAGACCATACACATTCTTCTTGCTCCTTCTTTAACATAAAAATAACTCAGGGGAAAATCTTTCTGCCTTTTCCGTGATTTTACAATCATTGTTATTTTTAAACACTTAAGTCTATGAACTTCTTTTCAGGTTTTGGTTTTGGTTTTGATTTTTTTTTAAACCGCTTTCTTGTTCCATGTTGTGCTTTTTGATTTGGGTTTTTTGGGTTGATTTTTTTTCTTGAGTTTTGTTTTTGATATTAGAAAACTGATGCTCCACACATTTTCTTTTCTTCCATGCCTGACAGTAACAGAAGACAACCCTATTATCAGCCTCCTTTTTATACTACTGAAAAAAACAAACCAAACCAAAGCAAAGAACTTAGCTAAGAAAAATAAGGGAAAATTTTTTTGAAACCTTTTGTGTTTTTATTATTAGTGGTATTATTATTATTTCAGTGATTAAAATTTCTCTTTGTACTATAATGCTTTGAATCTCAAAGCATCTTCCTTGGCTTTTGTACATTTTTACATGTTTTTCTATTTCTCTAATACTCTTTTTTCTTCCATTTTTTGCATCAGTCATGTTTTTTGATCTTTTCACTGAAAGGTAGAGCATATTGGTTGAGCATTTTCATTTGTCAAACAATTTGTATTCTTCAAAGAAAACATAGTGAGTCTGCTCTTTAAAAAAAAAAAAAAAAAAAAAGACATGGGTGGAACATGTGGCTGTAATTCTCTTCTGTCCAATGATGTTGTTCCAGTTCCTAGTGGTCCTCCTCGCAAAGTCGAGGTAGAGGCTGTCAACTCTACTGCTGTTAAAGTATCATGGCGCTCACCTGTACCTAATAAACAGCATGGTCAGATCCGAGGATATCAGGTCCACTATGTGAGGATGGAAAATGGAGAGCCAAAGGGTCAGCCCATGCTGAAGGACATCATGCTGGCCGATGCACAGGTAATTAGGGCATTTTATATTCTTTTCTAGGTCACAGTGAAAACATTTTGTGTGCCAGAGATCTATCCAGACCTGCCTGTTTTTCTATATTTCAGCCTACCGGCTAACATTTTTTATCTATATTTTAACAACTTCTTTTCAGAATACTTATATTTAAATGTTCTTGGGCCAAACCTAGGCACCCTTTTCTCTATAGGTGTGCAACTAAACGATAAACCGTGTCATTCTGCTGGCTCCCTTAAACCTGGAGACTTCAGCCTATACCTATGCTCTGAAGGTTTAAAGCATCAGGGAGATCTGAGCCAGGTCACAGTCAGTGCAGCAAATTGTGCACTCTCTGATCCACCCATGTGATATTTCGGTGGAGAAACTAGAATCCTTAGGAGCCTGTGTTAGCCTATTATTACAGTGTTTCTATCATAGCATGTATCCATCTCACCACGTGTTTCACAGGGAATGAATTTATTAGTGCAACTATAGAAATCACCGAAGTATTTATACTTGTCATTATTCATATCATTAACCATGCAATAGAATGAGCAGCTTAGTTTAAATAGGTATAGGGTTACTTATACTGCAAATTTTCCTGTCTGTTTTATAAATTATGAGACATGATGAATACAAAAGACTGATCACATCAAGTTTAAAAAGCTTCTGAAAATAAGATTTTAATGATTGGGATACACTAGTCCTTTTTAAAACTAAAGAAGTTCCTGATACTGGATTCCTGATACTGGAGTAATCACCCTACACTGAAACTTTCAAGTAAATACTTCTCATTTTGCTAGCTCTCCATTTATGACTGGAATGTGACTGGAAACAGTAAGAAATTACCAACCTAGCATAAAGTAAAGAGTTAAATTTGCCTCTTAAGCATTTTATGTGAATAGATAAATGGGTTTTGCTGTCTTTCATTTCTTCTTCCAGTCTTAGTTCTAAATTTCAGGTCTCCAGATATATTTCTTGAGAACAAGTCTCCTACACCTGCATTTTGCTGATGACCTTATTCTCAAAGTATTATCTCTGTTCCTGGACGTCTTTGCTGCAGTTTTACCTGCTAGTCTGCCTACCTATCTATATGTTTTTACCTGTTTTGCAAAACTTGGTATCCTTACAAGCTTAAATTCAGTGGAGGGAAACAGATGGGGAGGTGGGAAGGGAAAGGAAGATAAATAGAAAAGGAGATGCTGCTGTACTTTGGTTCTCCCCTTCCTTGCACAGATTTTCACTTTCAACCTCTATGTAGTAGTAGATTAAAATAATTTTAAACACTAGAAGGTCAAAAATGGGAGACTAAATGAGATATTGGAGCCCAAATATAAAAGCAAAAGTCATATTTCTTTTTTTTGCGATATTTGGCTTTGATCTACCTGTTTGCCATTGTTTCACTTGAGATAGTCACCTTTCTCCTCCCACCACTCCTTCCTGCCTATTATACTTTGATGATACATGTGATCAAAGCTTGTGCAGGTATGAAAACCTTGATGGTAAACTATCAGTGTGATTAGCTTTCGAGACTAAAAAATTTATTTAATTAATTTGAAGAAGGCATTGATTCATTTAGGAAACTCAAGCATATAGCCTAGTAACATCACTAAATAAACCAGGTAGCCTGTAATTCTGCCTAGGTAGCTTTTACTAATACAATCCATTATAAAATATTACTAAATGGTGCAAAGAGATTCACTATTTCTTTCATCATTCAAAGAAGCAGAAGTAGTTTTTTTTAGGGAGAGAAGAAGTGAGATTAAAAATGACTGGCCTGATTTCATTAACCAAATTCAGTGTGATTCTACATGATTAATTCAAATTTTACATTATTTTTCCAGACATCTTTCATATTTATTTTACTGTTAAGAAAACATTACCTCAACCAGGCTCCAAATCTCTTAATTCCTTTTTTTTTTTCCTTCCAACATTCTTTACTCTCAATCAGTGGGAATATGATGATACTACTGAACATGTGAGTAGTTTTTGATTGGCCAGAAAAACAGTTTGTGTTGGGTTTGAGATTTCTTTTTCTTTTTGCTTGTTTCCTTGTAGCCTTCTTTGATTTTTGTGATTTTTCTTCTGTTTTCTGTTTTGTTTTGTTTTGTTTTTTATTTTTGTCATTTGCACAAATGCATGCTCCTAGCATCAAAGGTTTTTCCCTTATGTTATTTTTTCTTTTTCTTTTTTTTTTTTTTTTTTTTCCAGAGAGAATGGGGGTTACTGTGTCTTGCTTGTTCTGGGGTTTAGCATGATGCCAAAATGTACAGAACTGTTTCATGTTTTCTTTTTTTTTTTTTTTTTTTTCATGGCTGTCACTGACTTTGCCTCAGAATTTCCTCTTTACAAGAAGGTGTTAAAAAAATAAAACAGAAGTAGTTCAGAGTTGCATAGCAGTAGTCAGATTTTTTTGTATTCATTTTAAGTTTAATATTTTTTTGTGTAGCTGGAAGTTGAAGTCATTTGTGCTTTCTTTTTGGTACTTTGATAAATACATTTTGTATGCTATCAGGAAAGCCAAATACCCTGCTGTGTTTATGCCTAAGCAATAGTGTTTGCTGTATCCAAATCATACATTTAAACGACAACATTAAATGCAGTCGAATCTTTTACACCAAGAAGTACTGTTTGTTTCAGATGAGGCGAATATCTTCATCACTGTTTAAAAGAATGGCAAATTTTTCCCCTTTTACAATTTTACCCTGTTAATATCAGGTGCAGTTTCCTTATGAAAGATGAGAAGTCTCTCCCACTGATTTTGGCCTTTAGGGTCAATTAAATTCTGAGACAAGAGTGTCAGGAGGAATTTTTTTATAGGTTTATTTTTTAATGTGTTTTGATTTTATTTGAGCAATTTTGCCTACTCGTTCTGATTATTAGCTTGTTATTTCTGTATTGCTAATAACTGACTGTAAATATAGCACCAAATTCTAAGTACATCTGTACTAAGTTTACACTCACTATCTTGAAAAATCCTTTTACTGTGGATAGTCTAACCCATAATTTTTACGTTAACTTTTATGGTTGTTGCATCTGAGGGGTGTGTGATTGTACATTTGCTATTTATTCTAGATGCATAACTATACTATCTCTCTGGCAGCAATAAAATGTAGTATAAATCCATTCAGGCATGTGAAAATGCAGAGGAGTAGTCCAGTGGTTACAGACTGGAAGCTGATGAGTCAGGAACATTGGACCAGTCAGTTACCTCCAAATACTGTCCTTTTATATTTGCATATAAAATTTATTTATATCATGAGTGACAAGGCTTAAATTTCACTGGCTGCCCCTATAGCATGACATAAGTTTCGTTCATTTCAGGTGGCTGGCTCATTACCATCTTCTGTGTGTATATACATGTGTGTGCATGCACACGTGTACAAAGATTCCCCTTGCTTTGACACTTACAGATTGATCTTACTCCCATCCGCTTGTACTAGAGGAAGAGATACTTGTTTTGTAGCTGCTGTCATTTGTTTGAGGGATCTCAGATTTATTCTCTGACCAGATTTTTAATAGTGTTTTTGATAGTTCCCTTAAACCTGAAGAATGTTTTGTTTATGAAATCATTCAAGATACTTAGATGCACAATCCAACGAGCAACACAGGTTGCAATGAAAGTGTTATGGAAGTAACAAGGCTTTCTTGTTCAGCTAAACCATCATTACCTACAAAGTATGGATACAAATGCAGCACTATTCTTACTAGGCATTTTATAACCATATTAGTGATGTCCTGTAAATGAATAAGTTAAACCAAGTTTCTCATATCTACATATGCATGCATTTCACTATATCAGTGGTATTCCTCAGGCAAGGTATTTCAGAAGGCTTTATTCACTGTTCACACCAATAAGCCTTTGCCCTTGTGCCTTAAACTACCTGAGGCATGCTATATAGAAGTGTGCTGTCTTTTATTGCTTGAGTGAGTGAAACATCTTGCATTATGAAGTATTTCACACAGAACAATCTACTGGTTCTTGCAAATGCTTGCTATCACTGCCAGTAGCACAAAAGTGTGCACACTATATGTAATATACAGGGGTCTTCTAAAGGATTCCATGTTTTCCTGGAAAACAATCTATTTTTAATAAATTGTTTTTGTTTTATTTCATCTTAGGAAATGATAATTTCTGGGCTTCAGCCTGAAACTACATACTCCTTCACCGTGACAGCCTATACAACAAAAGGTGATGGAGCACGCAGCAAGCCCAAACTCGTATCTACTACTGGTGCAGGTAATACTCATGTACCCGTTAATCTCTGAATAAATCCTTTGACTTTATCTGCTAGTGTTCTGCTCCTGCTATTTCTAAGTCCCCTGTTGTGCAAAAAGTGCTTATAGGGTCTAGGGTTTTCTGTTTCAGTACTTGGCCCTTCATTTATTTAGATAAAACCAGAACCAGTATCCCCCTTCGTCCCTTTCTAAGGTCAAGAAGTAGCCAAAATGTAATACTTAACCTTATTCTTTATAGTAGCTCTTCAGTTCTGATTGGTGTCTTCTTAGAGAGGAAAAAATAGAAATTCAGAGCTCAGAGGGATATTTGAAAGACTTTTGAAGGCCTTTCCTACTCTTTGTGAGAGTAACAGTGCTGCTGCCTGTCAGTAAGAACATTGAAAGAACCTCTCTGTATGACAGTCACAACTTACCTCAGAAGAATGTGATTGTTAAAGCAGAGAATTAGAATATGTAATGAAAGTCCAGCCTGTGAAACCCTGAAAACCATATTGCTTCAGTGGCAATATGAAGCAACAGTGGCAAAATACACCATACTACTGTGTTCAGTCTGCATTTGATCACAGGTGGTGGGTATGTAGCTGCATGACCAGTTCAGCTGATTCAGTTAACGCTGATGGGATGAACTGAATTGCTTTTAGATGAGGAAGAAGGTTTTTTAAATGTAAATGGTTCACTATGCTTAACAAAATGATGCCACCACAGCCTTAGTGTCATGTTCACAGGAGTTCACAACCTGTAGGTGTTAATTTTCTGGGGTTTGTAGTGCAGCCATTAAGGATATTCCATTACAATCACATGGAAACCTTTGTAGCACTGTTACAAACTCTCTTAATAACAATTGTTTATACTAATATATAAAGTCCAAAAGACATGTATTTTTAATACTGATTGACTTAATTTTTAAAACAAACACTGAATGTAAAGCACATATTGTACCGAAATCAGAAATATCTATATCCTTGTCTCATCAGCTTTCTTGGAAAAATCTCAGTCTTGGTGGCTAGATATATCATATAGTTTCATTTTAGATTTTAGAGTATCTTCTAGTCACTACTCTTGACTGGTGTCTAAAACTTACCCTCCCACTTCTTATGTTTCCTGAATTCTTACAGTCTGGGACAAAAAGTGATACATACTTCTCATTTAAATTCGAAGTTGATTTAAGAAAAAAGACACTTGATCCATTATTCTTTTTAAAATTCAGTTTCCAATTTAAATAGACACAGCTATGTAGATTACAGTGTGGTTAGTTTCTAGACATAAACATAGGCTTTGCAAACCTGCTTGCAAAACTTAAAACTTATGTGCATTTAGTCCTTATTGACTATTCATGTTTCACTCTTCCAAGATCTTTGATGCTTCTTCCACTTTGGAAAGTCAAACAAATCCCATGTCCCAAAAAACCCAGACTGACTGAAGAGCAATTGAGAATCAGAGTCATGCCTGTAAATGTAATACCTATTACACTGTTCTTGCTGTTTGCTTCACCCTGTGAATAAGTAATGTTTGTTCCTGGTCTCTAGGATAACAGCTAGTTACCATTTTGCTCCTTCCTACATTCCAGGTTTTATGAACACCTCTTCTCTTGCTGTTACAGCTTGCTGTGGTCAAGCTCTTTTTTTCAGGAAAATTCATATGTAGATTTTTGAAAAAGGAGACAATAAATATAGTCAGTACCATGAGTTTCCAGCTCACTGTCTTTCTATGAGAATACATCAAGCAGGTGAAAGAATGGTGCATTAATAACCAGGGGCTTATAGGTCTGAAATACAGTCTTCTATTCTCAGTTTCCATCTTACTTCTTTTTTTCCTAAAAAGCTGCTATTCAGGTACTACAATAAAGTAAATGAAGAGTCTGACTTTCTAGTCTAGTTTTTAAAGGTTTAACTCAGGTGCAGCTGTATTAGAATGAGTGAGATTATATCCATAAGAGATATGAAAGGAGAGTAACAGTCTAAATATTTACCAGAGAAGCTAACTATTCATAAATTATTCATATTATAAGTTAACTATTCAGCTGTGTTCAGTTAGTGATATTAAAGCATCATTTACATTTTTAAATGGAAAAGAATCACCAAATGTAAGTGAGCCTGCAGTATGGTAGCTGCAGTTATTAGTGAAGTCACTGAATGCAGTTAATATTTTTACTCCACAAATATATTTGTCTTATATTCAGTTTCCTTTCCTAGTTTTTGAAATCAGATGGAAGAAAAAATGTTACTGAACATTTCCAAGTCAAAGTATTTGAAAATTTTAAATTACGTGGGGTAGAAGGTACAAAATATGTGTGATTAAGAAGACTTCGATAAAAAATTAGACTTACTAGTCAGTAATATCATGCAAATTTTATGGTGAACTTAATCAGACCTTTCATTTCTGGGTCATAGTAGTTGTAAAATCTCACAGCACAACAGTGTGGCCATTATTTGGAATTTACTCTCTGTGCTGGACAGGACTCTTGAAATACAGATTTCAGCTAAGAGGAGAAAATTTACATTAAAACAGTGATGTACCATATATCAGCTAACAAAAACAAATTGCTTTGGATAATTTGCTAAAGGCAGATTGATTTAGCTTCTACTAGTAATGTCAAGCCATTACAACTGTTTGGTGTAATGACTGTTGCAAAATGGTGTGTGAGAGACATCTTACTGTCAGAGAATATCAGAGAATGTATTTTTTTATGAGCAATTTCACTTCATTTGGGCTCATGGCTAATTCAGGTATTATTCCCAGAAGAAGTTTCTAGATAAGAGCTATTCTGTGATGCTACTGTATATAGGACTGCACAGAATCCTGCTGTTTGTCCCATAAGACTGTAATATTCACAAGTGATCATACTAAAAGAAAATGTTAACTGAAATCTATCTGGAAATAAAAAGAGAGAGAGAAAAACATTTTCGTTTACTATCAATAGTTGTGTTCTAACAAATACACCTTGCAAAATCAGATATTTAAAAAAAAAAAAAAAGTGACTATTCTTATTTACCGTTATAATCACAGGATATTTTATTGGTTAAGTAAGCTTTATTAATTCCCCTGTTCTGATCAAGAGCAAGTAGTAATTCTTTCTTTCTCTGTAGTTACCACAGAAGTTAAAAAATAGTTCTAAATGTGAGGTCTGCCACAGGAAAAGAAAGCAATTTATCACAAAAACAATTTAGAGACACCTTCCAGCAGTCTCTCCTCTAGAAAGCTGAAGGAGTTATTATTCTATTTGTATGGACTCTTCTTTTTCATACGCTCCATTGGTTTCAGTAATAGTTATAATGTAGAGAAAAATATGGCCTGCAAAAGACCTTCACAGCCTTTTCTTTGTTCCATACAGGCTTGTAATAATCGATGAGGAAATGTCAGACCTCATCAGAGAGATATTTTTTATGCAGCAGAAAGTGTAGGAAAAAATTTGCAAAATTCCTGGGAATATTACTTGCAGGTGGACTAGATATTTAAAAGGAAGGTTATTTGGAAAATATATATAAAACTAGCTATAATACTTATGCAATTAGAAGCAATGTCACAGCTTAAAACTGATATAATGAGTTTATTAAATACAGAATTTTTGTCAAGCTATGCCATTCCTCCTTCCTTATTCTTTATTCATTATGGATCGGTAGTCAGAATTTCTGACAATAAGAATCTGATTTGCTGGGTGCCTGAGAACTGAAGACAAGTAATAAAATCCACTGAAGTGTTTAAATGCAGGAACCAGAGCTCACAGTGCAGCAGTTACATTCACGTGGGAAATTAGTCTTTGTGGAAGACTATGTTATCACAGCACTACTACCTCCAAAACTATTTTAGTCTCTTGACCTGTCAGGCATTGGTATGCAATGAACACCAAATTTCTAAGTAGTTATGGATATGCTTCATTATAAAATAAGTCATTGTAATCGAAACAGACTATTTGGAATAGAAATATTAATGAAAATGTAAATGAAATATATATGTATATAAATGAATATGAATAAATAAATTAAAATAAATATATAATTAGATACAGTAAATCAGAGCAATTAATATCAGACTCCAAAAATATGCACCATAAGTATAATGAGATTTCCCCCTTGGTTAGAGCTAACTTGATCATGTAGACAGAATATCCTCACCACTTTTACCACAACTTCACAACCCTCACCACATCATCACTGATTTGTCTCTGGAAGACAAATCATCAGTTTGGACCAATAGATCTCAATTAAAGATTTGAGTGTACCTGGTGTGCAGTTTAAGAGCTTCCAATTTAGTCTTCTTCAGAAGAAATCCAGTTCGTGTCCACCAAGCCCATGCTGCAAACTAAATCATATGTGATAAGCCAGGACAATCAAGAAATTCCAAACTGTGCTACCACTCCAAGCTGAAACGGCCCAAGCTGGAGGCGATTTCTGTATGGAATGTTGAATGATAGAATTATACATAGTAATGATTGTTGATGACAAGGTTGGTCTGACCTATCTTCCACCACATTTTAACTGTCAATGGCAAAAGTTATGCTAGACACATCTAGAAAGTTGTAATTTGTCCATTATTATTCCTACTCCTATTATTATCATTAATTATTTTTCCATTTACAGGAATGTCAGAAATGTGCCTTGGATTAAATTAATGAATACTTATGACAATACTCTTTTTTTGCAAGCAAGGATTTGTAAGTGAGACAGAACCGTTCATAAGATGTCTGTTGGAAGTTTTATTTCTTGACTTGTGTTCCTAAGTCCTGTGCCTATGAATGTTCTCTGTATTTATAAATAATGGTAAGGGAAGAAGACAACAAACAATAAATGGCTTCACTCTCATAGTTCGTTATACTGTATGACTCAATAGTGCAGGAGGCAGATATTATTTCTTCCATAAGAGAGTAATTTGTGGAACTAAGAGTGAGGGAAGAGAAAATTTATCCCTGCTGCTAAAACTATCTTCAAGAATTGTACATGCAATTCTGTTTGTATTTATCATCTTTAAATAACATTGTGCTACAGTTCCAGGCAAACCTCGACTTGTGATTAGCCACACACAGATGAACACGGCTCTAATTCAGTGGCACCCTCCTGTGGACACTTTTGGCCCGCTGCAGGGTTATCGCCTGAAGTTTGGTCGCAAAGACGTGGATACATTTACGACCATGGAGTTCTCAGAGAAGGAAGATCACTTCACGGCCACAGACATTCACAAAGGAGCTTCTTACATCTTCAGGCTCTCAGCTAGAAATAAAGTGGGCTTTGGGGAGGAGATGGTTAAAGAGATTTCTGTTCCTGAAGAGGTACCCAGTGGATTTCCCCAAAATCTCCACTCAGAAAGCTCTACTTCTACATCAGTTCAATTAACTTGGCAGATGCCACTCTTGGCAGAGAGAAATGGCATTATCACCAAATATACCATCTTGTACAGAGATATTAATGTCGCTTACCAGCCAGTTGAACTCCCTGTTGTTCCTGCTGATACCACTATGACACTTTCTGGCCTAAAACCAGATACCACATATGATGTAAAAGTACGTGCCCACACAAGCAAAGGGCCTGGTCCATATAGTCCAAGTGTCCAGTTCAGGACACTACCTGTGGATCAAGGTAGGATTTGTCTGCTTATGGCGTTGACCTTTAAAGGAGTATCGGTCTTTGGATATCAGTGTTTTTGAAGCTGTAAATAAAACTGACCAGCCAATTCAAAAAAATAGGTTCATCAAACACAAAAGGTAAAGTATGTAAATCTTAATATGTTTTGGATGCCTTAGAATTCAGTTGTCCCTTGCCAAGCAAGTTCTGGCTAACATCTTCACAATTTTTTCAGGTAAGGAAAATGTATGTGTTGGGTTGTCACTAGATAAGAGTAACAATGAGTTAAAACGTGATAAATATGAGGAAACAGGTAGGAGAATTGAGTCCTTGTTTTTTGACCTAAATGGAAAGCTAATACTCCTAAGTAGCAGTGGAAATATGACAAGACTTAAGCTCCAAGATGTTGTTTATAGACATTGTTTCTTTTTTTCCAGCAGTGTTTGCAAAAAATTTTCATGTTAAAGCAGTAATGAAGACTTCTGTTTTGCTGTCGTGGGAAATTCCAGAAAATTACAATTCAGCCTTGCCTTTCAAAGTAAGTTGCTTTCCATTTTTATGAGAGAAAATACAGAAACTAGAGGATGTCATTCACTTGATTTAGTAGCTTACTAAACGTGGATTTTTTTGGTGTTACTGTATTTAAGAATGCAAACTAATTAGCAACATTTACCCAAGCTGCTAAATTCAGTCGTTTGGCAGTATGAACTTTCCACTGTTTTAGATGTAGTTCCAAATCAAGCTTATACTAGTTATTATGCATGGTATGAACACCTTGCTAATATGTAGTTCATTGCTACTGTACTTCAGAGAAAACAGCGAAAGAAGAGAATAATTTTCTTTTTTTAGTCATTCTGAAGTGACTGTAACTGAGTACCATTTTGGTTTTGTCTCCTCATGTTTAAAACAACACATTTTTGCATTATAACTCTTGCCCCACTAACTATAGCATTAGCCATATAAAGAGACTCAATGTAACCTGCAGCCTGGCTGGCATTTCTTCTGCATCATTCTTCATCACTTGTGTCGTCTCAGGCAGTGGCAACTGAAGAGCGTATTTTATGAACTAAACGTTGCAAAACCCTTTCTGAATAAGGACTGTGAATGAAAAAGTTAAGGTAACTTTAACAGCACATATCCCATGATATAAATGCTGAGTTCAAGCAAAACTGCTGAATTTGAATACATGAAATTGGATTTTGGGAGTGCTTACACTGCTTTACATTAATGTACTTCTTTTCTTCCCCTAAAAGCAAGAAGTTTAATTACAGTAGTGAATTCATTACTATCTTAAATCCTAAAATGCGCAGTAACTTTCATTTTAAATTTATGGCTAGGTTCATTCCTGAATTCAGTGTGACATTATCAGTTGTCTTCTCTTAGTAACGAAAAACACCTTCAATTTATATATTAACTTAGATCCTTTATGATGATGGTAAAATGGTGGTAGAGGTTGATGGACGTGCTACTCAAAAGCTGATCACTAACTTGAAGCCAGAGACATCATATTCATTTGTGCTGACGAACAGAGGGAATAGTGCTGGGGGTCTTCAGCACAGAGTGACAGCAAAGACTGCACCTGACGTGCTTCGCACCAAGCCAGTCTTCATTGGAAAGACCAACTTAGACGGCATGATAACTGTGGAACTGCCAGAAGTACCTTCAAATGAGAATATAAAGTGAGTGAATGAATTACATGCCATTGCTTTTAACTCCAGAATGGTGATTATTCTTACTGTTAATAAAATCTAGAGCTGTAGTGGTGGACCAGAGCTTTGTTCTTCATAGAGGTATAGAGAGTACAGCATTCTGCAGCAGGATTTGGACCAATATTGGACTAATATTTGACAGCACTAAACTGGGAGGTGCTGTTGACTCTCTTAAGGGACAAGAGGCCTTGCAGAGGGGTCTAGATAGATTGGAGCATTGGGTAATGATTAATGGCATGAAATTTAACAAGAACAAATGCCAGATTCTGTTGTTAAGGTACTTGAATGTGTCCCGAAAAGAGCAACAAAGCTGCTGAAAGGGCTGGAAGGCATGCACGATGAGGAGAGGTTAAGAACTTTGGGAATGTCTAGTTTGTAGAAAAGGAGGCTGATGGGTGGCCTCACTGATGTCTGCAGCTTCCTGAGGAGGGGATGGGGAGAGGGAGGTGCTGGTCTCTTCTCCCTGGTATCCTGTGATATGACTTGTGGGAGTGGTTGAAAGCTGTACCAGGGGAGGCTCAGACTGGACATTAGGAGGTATTTCTTTACAGAGAGGGTGGTCAAACACTGGAAAAAAGACTCCTGGAGAGATGGTCAATGCCTCAAGCCTGTCAGTGTGTAAGAGGCTTTTGGACAATGCCCTTAATAGCATCCTTTAACTTTCAGTCAGCCCTGAAGTGGCCAGATAGTTGGACTAGCTGATTGTTGTAGGTCCCTTCCAACTGGAACTATTCTATAAGTTTGTCCCGTAGCCAAGTATATAACACTGAAGAAAATCTAGGTGGAAATAATGGAGAAGGATTTTCCTTCGGTTTTTAGTTGTTTCTGAGAGTACCTTTGTGTTTCATCACTAATTTCAAATAGCAGAGGGATTAAGGAAGCCAGTTGTGTTTTGAACAATGTGCCATCTCAAGAAGAAAGGATAACCTATCAATGGGAAGCTACCCTGCTGCAGCACCTTGAAGTACTCAGACTCAGTCATTTCAGAATTATGTGGAGTATTGTTTTTTTTTGCAGAATTCTTATAGCACTTTCATTAATTCAGATTAATTAATTCTGAAGTTTTTTATTAAAAAAAATTCTCAGGTCCTTTCCACTGGTTCCAGAAAGAAAACAGGAGATTTTACTGAAAAATTTGGCAGGGAGTTTACTAGAGGTTACTTAGATTTGGGGGGAAAAGGTGCTGTGGAGATTTAAACAGCAGAAACAGGACTAAAGAGCTGACAGCACACGGTCAGCAGGGATTAGAAAGGTTAGACAATAAAAATTTGCCAAGAAAACATGAAGCATGGTACAATCAATAAGTGTTATTGCTCTGCTTATAGTGATTCTTGTTGGGCTATAAAGTTCCCATGTGTAATGTAAAGGAAATGGGGGGGAAAATGAGCAAGTCATTAAATATTGTTGGGGATTCAACTTATCCTCTCCCTGATGGATTTTTACTGACGGCTTTGTAGAAAGCTGCTCCCCTTTTTCATTACTGACTGAGGATTTGAGGCAGGTGAGGTCAAGAAAGAAATGACTTTGAGATATTAAAAGGATGAAAAACTGAAAAATGTAGTCATTATCATTAGATTGAGTAAGATGCGGTCAGTAACAATGTAGCTAAGGAAGGCTGAAGATGGAATGAGTCAAAAAAGATTTATGAGGCAGAGCACTCACACAGAGGAAAAAGTGCAGGGTAACTGGTCAAACGATAGCAGAAGATAGCAGTGGAAAAAGAGTCGATGCCCTTCCTTTTACATAATGGAAAAAAATTAGAGGCTAAGTGACATCATGAAAGGTACATTAAACCTAGGGGGTCCAACTGCTAATACTGCAAATAATGTATCTCCTCCTCTTATATCTATTTCCTAAGAAGACGTGACTGAGATTGAGATAGAAAAACAAAACAACAAAAAAAGATTGATGACCCTTGGAAGCAGGCATACAAAACAACTACGTTCTGAACAGAAAATGCTTGCCTGATGCTTGCTAGAATAAGTACAATTATTGCAGCTATAGTCTTTGTAGGGAAAGAACAATTTTGTGTAATAGTTATGTTGACATTTTTACAGTTGCTGTTCCTCTGTGGGTGCATTATATGCTCATGATTGTCTCACTCTGAAGTACTATACACTGAGAGTATTTCAGTAATACTAATTACACAGAAGGTGAAACAGTTAATGGTTTATTCTAATGAATTATAGGTAAATACTAATGGGATTGAGGGTAATGTTATAGGAGTCTTTGCAATTTATTAAAAATGGTAGAAGTAATTTTCATTATTTCAATGTTTGATTTTGGTACAAGATAGAAATTGGAGCAGAGCTCACCTGATATTAGCTAAAATAAATCTCTTTTTCTGGCGTCATCTAAAGTGAGGAATTTCTTAATTTAACTGTAGTGTTTTGGGCTAATTCAAAGCAATTTTTATGTGTAAAAGACAGTTTATATTTCTCTGAATCTCTTCCATCTTTGCAAAGTCTTAGATAAAACCAGGGTTTTATGGAAGACTTTGGCCTCTATAATACTCAGGAGTTGAAGCAACATCCAAGTAAGCCCTCCTTTTCTCACACTCCCCCCTGATCTGGTTTTGGCTGGTATAGAGTTTGCTTTTCTTCTTAATAGCTAGAATAGTGCTGTGCTTTGGATTGAGTATGGGCTTTGGAATGCGAAGAATGTTGATAATACACTGATGTTTTCAGCTGTTGATAAGAAATCAAGGACTTTCCAACTCCCCATGTCCTGCCCATGTGCAGGTGTTACAAGATTGGAGGGGGCATGGCCAGAGCAGTGGATCTAAATTGGCCAATGGAACTTCCTATATCATGTAATGTCATGCCCAGTATATTGAGGATTATTGACTGAAAAGAGAGAGGCTCTCTCACTTCAGGGATTGAGGTTTTGAGATCTTGTCTTCTCCAGGATCACTAGCTAGGGACAGGTTGGGCATCAGTCAGTGGGTGGTGAGCAATCACATTGTGCATTACCAGTTTGTATTTTCCACTATTATTTTCATTAATGTTTTATTTTATTTCAATTATTAAGCTGGCTTAATCTCAACCTACGAGTTTCTTTACTTTTACCCTTCCAATTCTCTCCCTCATCCCTGGGCAGGGGAGGGTGAGTGAGCAGCTGTGTGGTGTTTGGCTGCCAGCAGGATTAAAACCATAACAATTCCCCCTGAAAAAAAATCAAAACAAACAAATAATAAAGCAAATAATAAAACATATTTTTCAAGAGATGTTGCATTTTATGGCGTTAGCTAGAAGTAACAACTTTGTTGCCCTTTATAATTTGCAGGACTGTATATTTATGTGAACAGTTTCATTTTCTTCTTGCCATTGATGTGCTTTCAGCTTTAAAATACTCTCTATGTGCTGAAAGTCTTAGTGGATGATCAAAGTTATGAGTGGGAGGCATGCATGAAGAAAGTGTGAAAGAGTGTGAAAGTAACATTTACATGCTGGATGTTCTTTGATTAAAAAAAAAGTATGAACACTGTTGGCTTACAAAAGAAAAGAAGAAGAAAAAAAAGTGTAAGTAAGAGACTGCTATGCAGTTCATCCAGCAGATGTATCTTTGACATCTGAAAGACATACAGGTGCCAATCCTCAATATTTTTTGTCCCGATTCTTAGTCATCTGTTATAAGAAAAGCTATGTAGGTTGTAGTTATTGTATACATGGATAAATCAGCATTCACTAGGATTTGTTAGTCATGTAATCAAAGAATTTTTAAAATACATACTCAGGTTTAAAATCTGGATTCAACCAGCTTTACTAGTTTTGAATAAGAACATCAGTCTAAAAGATGATTTATCATATTGTTACTATAAGAACATATGATGCAGATTTTATTTAAATACTGGAATACAGCAACTGAGCAGCAGTTAAAAACCTGTGGCCAGCACTTTTTGTTTCCAGCACCTCATGTGGGAGCTCAGCATTTCCACAGAGAAATTTCTCAAATTTTATAGCACAAGAATTTAAAAATATGTGCATTTACTACAGTAGTTAAAAATCCAAAGTTTTTTTACATTTCTTTTATTGGAAGGAGCTTTAATTAAGAAGAAACCATTAAAATGGACCAATGGTATGCACTAATATGGAAGAAAGATAGTTTATAGTCAGTTTAGACTCAGATAGTTTTTGATCAGTTGTAAGACAAGTCATTTTCTGTAGACTCTCTTGTTAATTACTTCAGGTTTTTCAGCTGCATTGCACGAGGAAAATGAATAGTCAATGCTGCAGGTGGTTGAACAGGCTGTAAAAAATGGTAGACTGGAAAAGAAGATGGTCCATGAGACACTAAAATTTTCTTCCATAATGGAGAGCCAGAGACACCTTCTTAATAAGCTCTGTTGTTACTAGAAACAAAGGAGAGCAGCTTCTTTCCTGCTCCTCTGAAATGGAGAGTGCTTGACTTTGACAAGTGTGTTTATCAACAAGATGTATATTATACCATCCTGGATGTCCTGCTGTTGTGATTCTACTGTTTCTTTCCTCACACTAATGTGAAATTATGGATCTGCCTGACATGTATCCAGTCTTTGTGCAGGAAACAAGTGCCATATCTCTATTACACTAGAAAGTATAATTTACTAGTCTCCATGGGGGGGAGGAGGAAGATATTTTCAGGAAAATATTTCTGAGGAAAACTGATACATGTAATTTGCAAATCCTAGCTGTAAAGAGAGCATACATCAAGCTCTCTTGTCTATGACTGTGAACAGAATACTTAAAAAGATAAATCTGATAGTGGTTGATACTCAAAAGTAAAGAGTGTGTGGGTGGAGTGTATCCTATCTCTTCTTTATTTTCTGTTTATAATAGTATTGTCATCAACAAACACACTGTGATAACCTCCTATTCTGATTATACATGAAAATGAGGGAAGATGGGGTAATAATTGAGATTTAAATATGCGATAAGATGTTTCAATTTAGGGGGTTGGGGTTTTTTTCCCAGTGTGATGTTGGTGGGGCACAAATATCACGTCTCTTATATTTCAAGTGAAATAATAATCTGCAGTCAAACATGTAGGCACTTTGGAACACTGTAATTAAAGTTTCTTATACATATTTATATGTTTACATGAAAACGCAGGTAATTAGTGCCATTTGTTTGTCAAATGTTTTACACTGAATGTTGTTTCAAGAGTGTGAATCTTTACAACTATGTTTGGAAGGCTGCAGTGGCATAAAAATGTGCAAAGGTTTGATGTCAACGTATTACTGTTCTCTCAGGTTCCTCTGAACAGACACCTACTCCATCAATTTATCTATTCCTTCTCCTTCAACTTCACTTTGTCCAACTGTTTACTTTACAGAGGTTATTACATAGTTATTGTGCCTTTGAAGAGGTCTCGTGGAAAGTTTATCAAACCATGGGAGAGTCCAGATGAAATGGAACTAGATGAGGTACAGTATGTTTTTGATGTCATCTTCTCCTTTATTAAAGAAACAATCTTATTAGTGGCATGTGATTAACTCACCAGTTTTAGAAGTTGTGGTTGTCAGGATAATTAATATTTATATTTATACTTGAATTAGCTTGTGGGGACTGAAGCGAAAGTTCAAATTACTTAAATTAGAAAACAGTAAAGACATTAAGTTGCAATCAAGCACACAAAGTGTGTGATCTTTGTTGGCATTAATATTTTATTATTTTCCTACTGTAAAGCATAATGCAAAAGTGCAGGAGGTGAAATGAGTTGTCACCAAAAGCTTAATCACCAATGATATGAACTCTCATAAAGGTCTGGTTCATTAGTGGGGTGTTTACAAAGCCTGTAACAAATGCTAAATTGCAATTTGCACTGTAGTTTAACACTTGACCCTCTTGTGGTGTTTTTACCTGATTCTCACATACTGTGATGCCTCAGGTTAGAAACTTGCACAGTAGTCTCCATTCTACTGACAGTTTATGCTCAGAAATAAATGAATGAAGTAGGAAAGAGCAACACTGTGTCATAAATGACATTAAACCAAAGGGTGGAAGTGTTAGAAATAAGCCTAATAATTCTAGAAATCAATTAATTAAGTTATTGATATAATAATAATTCCAGGAAATACAGTGTCAGCATTCTGTCCTGTCTTCTATTTTACTGAAGAACAATATAGCTCATGCAAATTTGTCTTTCTTCTTTCAGTTTGTAAATTTGGAATAACACTAATATTCATCATTGTAAAGCTCTTTTGAGAGCCCAATATTAAAGCCCTGTACAAAAGACAGGTGGTGGGTTTATTATTGTTATTGTTGTATCTATGTTTTTAGATCTCATTCAGATGCTGTGGTAATTTGCACATGTAATGTCTCTACAAATGCAGTACCAGAAGATCAAAGTCAGTTTCTTTACTCCTTACTTCAGTGATCTTTTGACTAGATCCTATCTATTTTTCCACTTTTGGTGAATTCAAGAGTTTTACATTACAGAGATGATTCACCATATGCTTACCCGTAATACAATCACTGAGAAGTAATAATCATCTGCAAGAAATCACAAGGCTTTTTTTCCCTCCTTCCATTAACAAAATGGATATCAATTTCAATGTTTGCACCAAAATGTGAGGAAAATTAAGATCTTCACCAAACTAACACTGCCATAGAAAGCTTTCAAAATATTAACAGGGTCTTTCAGTCTTTAGTTTGTTTTCTGATCAGAAAAGGCAAAGAATATGTACAGCAATGAGAATCCTTAATCAGAAGATTAAAAACAACTGTTCAAAGGAAGGCATGTTTTTTGTTACTGCTGACTGACTGATTGATTGAAGGCTGGGTTTCCTCTTCATCAGTTTCATTTATGTGATCATCTCATTTGATTCAATTGCAGCGATGACTTGCTTTGATCTGTTAACTTCTTTCCTTTAAAAGAACTTGGATTGTAAATGCCATCAACTCATGATTGTAGTCCTAGGTGACATCAATGAAACATAAAACAGTAAAACTCTGACAGCAAGATCCATACAGTAACGGAAAACTGATTTAACATTACCACCTACTTTTAACATCGAAAGTCTGTAGTTGCATTCAGCAGCAGTAAAAGATTAAAGGATAGGTGCCAGATGACATTGAACTTTTTGGCAATTAAATTCTATGGTCCTGCTGATTCCTGTAACAAAGGGTCATTTTAATCATCTTGCAAGTTGTGGTGCATTAATCTGTGTAACAGATTGATAAAGAGCATTTATTAATTCAGAAATATTTGGGTCAGGATGGGTTGTTTCCCCCTTCTACTGATATAATTGAGACCACATTGCAAAATTAATGGTGGAAGAAATAAGATATGCATTGACTGGAAAATGAAAATTATTTCTGATAAAGAACTAAAACGCTTGATATATCTTTTTACAATTGCTACCATACATATAGTAAGTATTGCAGGGAAAAAATCAAAAACAGGCAGCAACTGTATTTCATTCTAGCTCATCCAGTTTCTATTACTTAAAAGACTGTTTTACTTGCAGCTTTAAAAAAACATATGCATATTGTTATTAGTTGCACTATTCCTGACAAACATGTGAAACAGTGTCAGAATAAATAAATTTGGGAAAAAAACTATAAAAACTAACCACACTACTCAGCAAATAGTTCCTGATGGTCAAGTGAAGATACTTGTGCATATCTTTTTTTAGTACAATCTCAGATATCTGGCTATTATCAGAAAGGGTCAGGCATTAGATTTTCCAAATAAGTATTCCAAATACTTGGCTTAGATTGTCAGAAGAAAAGTATTTGCTGAATACACTACTCTCAAGTGTTGACTCCAGTACATAGCTGACCAGTCCAAAACATTTTCTAGCCTTATTGTAGTTACCTAATCTTCCTGATTACTTGAATCTCTCTTCTGAAAGAAAGTAAGAGACAGAATCGTGAACAGACAATGGACTAGATATTGTGTATCTGAAGATAATAGTTATGACATACAATCCTGTTTTATTAACTAAAAATTTCATTTTATTTTGAATATCATGAGGTCTAGTGACTTTAAATAGATGTCATGCAAATAAATGAAATATAAAAAAAATATAGTGATTTGCAGTAAGTACTATCTAGTAGGATTATTTTAGATTTGTAAACAATAAAACCTAAATAAAAGCCTGCATGTTAAGTCTTAAATCAATTCAGTAATTTTATAGAAATCCTGGTATAAAGTACAACAGGAGATATATGTTCAAGTAATGATCTTTGGCAGCAACCCCATTTATATATGAAACATGAATGAGGCCAGAGGGTCACCTGAGGTCTATTCAGTCATGTGTAATCAATGTCACAGACCACATTTTTATCTACACACAAACACAATTTTAGCTGGCCTTAAGTGATGAATAATCAACTTTGAAAAAATTGAACACATTTTGTTTGACTCATGCTAATTAACTTTTATCATTCATGGCCAAAACTTACTTTTCTGATCACTTCACCCACTGTAATACAGTACTTCAGCATTGCTATCTGTTAAATATATGCATTTTATGTTACAAATTCAAGCACAAGAAATAATTAAGATCAAACATTTTTCTTTCCCTTTCAATCTCAATCTAATTTTGATTGCACTTCTCTTGCACTGATTGGCATTTTATTATGAGTTATTTAAAATCTAAATTGTAAATACAGTGTAATCTGGAAACATACAATAAGTAATTTATTTGAGGTAGCTGCACCAATAACTTTAAATTCTAGTTGAAATTGTACCCATAAATATCAGTTATCGTCAAGCCATGTACCTCTCCTCGTACTGCAGTATTTACAGATCCTGACTTTCAGTTAGTATAGATATCACTTTGTTATTACCTGTATATCTACCTTTGTGTTTCAGCAGACTTCAGGATAGTCAGTGCTCAGCCCTCTGCATAGCTGTTATCTTTATAAAAGATGGCTTCATATAGATGCAGACTTGTCATACAGTGCTTCCCTCAGCACATCTTATAAGGGCTGAGGCAACCTAGAACAAACTTTGATTAGTCTCTGCCTCATGTTCTGCCTTCAGTAACTCTATCCAGGGCATAGGAAACTACCAACAGATGTGAGAGTCACCTTCAGGAGAGCAACTAAATAGAAATCTACTTAATATTACAGTTCTCTACTGCAGTCATTTTTATACCATGAAAATTTACTATAGCTGTTCATTAAACTGTTTAGAAAGAATGAAAAAAGAAATATGGGCTGCTGATTGTAATAGAGTCCTTGAGTAATGAATGATGATTTCTAGTCTCAGATTATGGCCAGTTCTTTTTAGCTGAGGAGATCCATTGCAATGTACCAGCTTTTGTGTTGGAGCATGGAAACTCATAGATTTAAATGAATGTAAAATCTCTGCAACAGGGAACAGATTCAGCCCTAGATATGGAAAGCAGTTGACTGTATAGATCTTCGAAGAGGAAACATCCAAATGCCCTTAACACTAAGGATCCAAATGATTGCTTCCATGTCTATGTGTAGCCTGTGTTTGAAGTATGCACTTCAGTGAGAAGGGATGTTAAAGTAATCACTGTTAAAAGCTTCTGTCTCAGTAGCAGCATGAATAGTAGATTGTTTTACATGCATAGGAGTTGTTAATTGTGTAATTTCAAAATACAAGATCTTGTGTGGGGAAGGCGAGAAGATATGCTAGCTAAACTGAGGTCTACCACTGAAAAAGAGGTTGAAGCAAGAGAGATCTTCCCTGACTAAACGCATTCTTTAAAATTAAAATGTATAGTGAAGATTAATTTTTAATCTCTTTTTATTGATCTCTAACTCTTAAGATTTGTCTCCTCCTAACAAAGAAGTTTGTGCCAGTCTGTTGTAGTAGCACTATTTCTGTGATTAAAACCCTAAAACAACCATGTGAACTTGGAAAAATTTTTAAGTTCCATCTGAGACTACAAGACGTTGAAGGTTTCCTAAGTGAAACAAAAGGGGAACCATAAAGAAGCCTTAGAAGTCATCACTTATCACCCAGGAAATGTTCAGGCTCCTTGTAGTCAAAACAGATTAATATTTGTTGAATGCCAGTATAAATAGCATGATAAAAGATACTGCATAAGCACTTGACGCATGTAATTAGTAATTCATCAATAGGTTATACCAACTGATCTTGAATTCCTTCTTTAGTTAGTGTGTGTTTTACAAGTTTCAGCCTAGCATCTAATCTTGTCGTAAATATGGTCATGTAAAATTTAGCACTGTTTATCAGAAGAAATGTTTTATGAAATGAGGAAAAGATCCGTTTTGGAAATCAATTTAGGCAGTTAAAATCTGAAGTGTGGATTGTATACGATAGGGTGGTAAAGAAAAGTTGTCTTAGGATTCATGAGTCCTCTTACTGATTACTATTACCAATCTTTGTGTAGTGTTGTACAAAGCATGAAGAACACAACTTTTGGTGCTTTTCAACAATTAAATGATGGTAAATTTTAGGTTTGGAATGGAAGATATGTTTACAAATCTCTCTGTAAACTCTTCTGCACTTAATTTACTGTTTGTGAAGTACATTGGAAAGCACTCTATTCTCTGAGGTGTTCAGGAATTAAATATTGCCAAAGTGCAGTGTGCTTGTTAGTCCTCATATTAGAGAGAAAAAAAACAAACAGCTATTCATAGCTACTTAGCATTGAGTTGTTTGTATTTCAGAGTTACCAGAAAAAGTTAAAAGTAGTTAATATAAATTGACTTTCAAAAATTCAGAGTTTTTTAATTTTGTATTTTTTATTCCTGATTTTTAAATAATTACATCATATGATTTACTAAGTTTTGTTGTATCAAGCAGGAGATAAGAAAGTTCTTTGCGTATTCATAGGAAGAGAGAAAATCTTATTATACACTAGGGAAGTGATCGTCTCTTTGAACTCGTCACTGGTGAGGCCACACCTCAAATACTGTGTTCAGTTTTGGGCCCCTCACTATAATAAAGATGCTGAGGTGCTAGAGCATGCCTAAAGAAGAGCAACAGGGCTGATGAAGAGTCTGGAGCACAAGTCCTACAAGGAGTGGCTGAGGGAACTGAGTTTGTTTAGTCTGGAGAAAACAAGGCTGAGGGGAGACCTTATCACTCTCTACCAATATCTGAAAGGAGGTTTTAGCAAGGTGGGTGTTGGTCTCTTTGCCCAGGTAACAAGTGATAGGATAAGTGGAAATGGCCTCAAGTTGTGCTGGGGAGGTTTAGGTTGGATATTAGGAAAAATTTCTTCACTGAAATGGTTGTCAAGGAAACAGGCTGCCCAGGGAAGGGGTTGATTCACAATCCCTGGAGGTATTTAAAAGACATGTAGATGTGGTGCTTAGAGACATGATTTATTGGTGGACTTGGCAGTGTTAGGTTAACAGTTGGACTCGATGATTTCAAGGGTCTTTTTCAACATAAATGATTCTATGATTCTATTCTATGACTGACTTCATATAGATATACACACACATATTACATATATATATATATGATGTGTAATATGATGTGTGTATATATCTGTCCTTAGAGAAGTTATATTGATTTATTAGCTTTTCTTTTTTCCCATCTAGAGACAACATTTTCATCTACTGAAAATTGATCTAATTATTTTATGTTTGTAGTATGGGCAGAGCAATTGCTACCTAGTACTTTATCTGAACAAGGATGACAAGAAATTGGAAGAGTTTTCAAGAACTGATTTAGTGATTCTGATATGTTTTATGAAAACTGGATAAATGATATTTTTGTACTTCCTCGTCTTTTATTAAATTTTATCATTACATTGTCAATAAGTTACATGAAAATTGTTTACATTTGTATTTCTGTTCTTGCTTTCATCTCTCCCTCTCTTTCCCCACCCCCTTCATTCTAAAGCTGCTTAAGGAGATAGCTAGGAAGCGCAGAAGTATTCGTCTTGCAAGAGAAGTTGAATTAAAGCCATATATTGCAGCTCACTTTGAAGTTCTTCCTACTGAGTTCACATTGGGGGATAAGAAACATTACGGTGGCTTTGAGAATAAACAACTGCAGAGTGGTCAAGAATATGTCTTCTTTGTATTGGCTGTAATGGAGCATTCAGAATCTGTAAGTTAGTTAATAATTTGCAATCCCAAAATTACCTTTCCACAATCATGAATACATTTTTTCAATGTTTATTCAACCTCCCAAAGGCTATTGTTTGGTTTTTTTTTTTACAATGTATGTCAGGGAATCTCTAAAGTGAGTGATTCCTTATTTAGTTCCAATTACTTTCTTGAACTTTGCTATTCTGCATGCATCTTTGTGTGCTAATTCTGTGTATAACTGAAACTGAAGGATCACCTTTTATTAACTGTGTTGTAATCCTTCTCAAATTACATGCTCCGCTATTTGAAGTCATTGACACAGGTTCTGAGGCATGAGCTTCGCAGCAGCATCTTTCTCAATGTATTTAAAAGAGTTCCTCTCTTGCCTTGGAAATACCCGTTGAATCAGAGTCATGCACAGCTAGCATCTTTAGTTACAGTCATTCCCTAATAATTTTATCAGTGAATTGTTAGAAGGATGGAAAATAATTCAATAATAAGGAAAATTCCTGGGGTGAGCTAAATAATGAGCTGTCATTCTTCTTTATGTAATTCATCCTGTAGTTATGTCCCTTTATGCTTGAGCTAATCTACTGCATGTAATACAGGAAAAAAAAAAAAAAAAAAAAGGAAAAAATTAAAAAGAAAAAGACAGAAATACGAGTGTTGAAAGAAGTTGCAATACACATTAACTTTTTTACAAACACTGTGTAATATGGTATCTTTCTAATTAGCACCTAAACCTGACAGGTACATTTGCTGGCTCAACCACTTGAAACTGCTACACCAATAATATGAATACTAGTCAAATGCTTCCAGCGTGTAACCTTACAGTTGCTCAGTTGCTTTCTTGATGTCAACAGAATTTACCTACTTAAGCGCATTGAGGAAGTAGTTTCAATTTTAATAATTCCGCATACATAGCTTCATATGAAAATAAAATAAATGCTTCCTGGAAGCTCTAACATAAATCAAAAATTCCTCTTACACTTTTTGACAGTGACTGCATAGACAGAGTATTGTGAAGGTGCTTCATCAGAAGGGTTCAGACTGGAGAAAGTAGACACCTTTTGGCTATAAAGTTAGATGGCCAAAAATCTGCGTGTCAGAAATTACCTGTACTAAATTTGATCTCTTCAATACAAAGTACCATTTCTTATTTTTCTGTATTAATTAAGGCATTGGTCATTTCATATAACCTTAAGGTTATTACTTTGTTAGAGAAAAATGAGATGAAAAAGCAGAAATAAATATGGTTGTAAATTTACGGCTGAAAAATGTGGTATGACAAAATATATCCAAGGGCCTACTGTTGAAGATTTCAGAAGACATTACTAAACTTACAGTATGGAGAACACCTGGTTTAACATGCCATTTGAAACATCTATGTGATTAAGTAGCATGAGGTAGTGGCATAGAGTGAAGAGTTTGTAAGAGTGGATGAGCTTCAACTCTCAATGCTCCAGTGTATCTGCTTTCGATATAGCTGGTTTTCTTCTAGGACTATAGATCCTACTGGTGTATGAATTGTAACTTGTGAGGGATGTTTCTCCCGATATTCAAAATACTTTTTACATGAGGTTTGTCCTTCAGGGAACAAAAAAATTCTCTGTTGATTGGGAGAATGAAGAATTTGCTTTACAAAAGGTCATGGAGAAGTCTGAATTTGTTTAACTTAGTAAAATGGAAACTGAGAGAGTTTATGACTACAGTCTATAAATATGTTATCAGAAGGAAGGAAAAAAACCCCAATAGATAAACTTGGCAAAATAATAAATGAGTTCAAATTTGTCATTAATGTATGTAGATTTGAAAATGAAAACCAAAATCTTATTAATTGGAGAACAGGTAGTAAATGCTCGTTCTGTTATACCTCAGTATTCCTATGTACCCTCTGTATGGAGACTCCCCAGTTTCTAAACAGCAATCACAGACTTTTAAAGCATTTGGTGCCAAGTTTACTAGAAGAGTATAAATGGACATTGTTGGGATGGGTACTTGCTCAGTACCAGCTAGTGTAAGTGCCTCAGCTTTGCCAGTCCTAATCCTATCTCTAACCTCAAACCCAGATGCTGTTGCAGCCCAGAGCCAAAAACAAGGCATAATGAAGTGTAAAAAAAAAGCATGTCTCCTTTGATAACACCTGTCCTGGCTTAGAGCATCTTTCAGAATACAGTGCAAACATGGCAAGTGAAAATCAATCTGATCTCCTGGTTATCTTATTCTGTCTTAGCTGGCATTCCTGTTCCACCACTGAATCAAATTTTTAAATCATTTGCAAGAGCTGTAGTTCAGATCCAAGTTTAACACTGTCAGAGACACTCCAGCAAAGACAAGAAATAAGTACAAACCATTCTCCACTTCTGACTTTACTGTAGCTCAGTGCTTTACATGATCTAATTTTATCAGGCTGGCTCCTCAGCCTCTCCTGCCTGTAATTTTAACTCTGCACTCAGACATAGATCAGACATCTCAGGTCAGACCAGAATAAAAAGATGTATTATTTTCTTATCACAGGTCTTATCCTAGTCCGAGTGGCTTTACACCATCCAGTAAGGCAAAGATTTGCAATGGCCTCTGTTGGTTCATATTTCTAGTTCCATCCCTAAGAAAGACTTTGAGTATTTAGCTTCCCTTCCTATTCTACAGTGTCTTCCTCTGTTTTTCAGTCTCAAACTCAAATTATCTCCATCTTCTGTAAGAACACTGTTTGTCAGACAGTTTTTGACTGATCAAAATGGACCCTACTATTGCCATGGGACCCTTCTCTAGGAACCCTCTACCTCTGGTCCCCTTTGCTTTTACCTATAGTACTCTTGCTCTCTTAGAAGTACTCTTTCATATCTTGCAGGAAGAAACAGTATTAAGCCAATATAAAACTAAAAATGCCAAAAAATTAGTAACCAACAGGCTATATTCCTCAGTTCCCTAATACTTCATTTTCTCATTCTCTGCTTAAGTTGCAAAGTGTTCTATGAGGGACTGTGTTACATCATTTGTCCACAGATCACTGCTAATATGTGGAGCACAAAATAAAGTTAGTAATAACAAGACACTGTTCAGTTTACAAGTTTTTATACTGCCTGACTTGAAGAAAAATAGCATTTTCACATTGCTATGTTCATTATCTTGTATAGATGAATTTTAGATCTAGGATAGTCAATATTTTAAATTCAGTCCTTTATCATTAAGTAAAATCTATTTTATTTGTATAGACCATGTATGCAACCAGCCCATACTCTGATCCTGTTGTGTCAATGGATCTTGATCCCCAACCAATTACAGATGAGGAAGAAGGCTTGATTTGGGTTGTTGGACCAGTGCTTGCAGTGGTGTTTATCATCTGTATTGTTATTGCTATACTTCTTTATAAAAGGTAAGTTTACCTTTTATTTTTGTTACCAGGTGTGTAACTTTCTGATATATTGGCCTTTTTATAATACTGTTCTACACTGTATTTTTTGTAATACAGTAGTAACTGTCATTGCTTTGGGATATTTCCACATTTATTAATGGTTTCCAGAACACTGCAGAAATTTTAGATTGACTGAAAGTTTCCAATAATTACAGATATGTGGGTACATTTTTCTGCTGATGACACCCTATTAACATTGCTGTATTTAAATGGTTTTTTTCCACATAGCATAGATTTGAGAAGAAAATATATGCTTGCATATAAATATGTATAGAATTTACACATTTAACTTCGTAAAACTTATTTTAAAATGTGCAATACTAATACATTAGGGGTTACATTCAACTTGATGTTAAACATGATTTTCATCTCCACTCAGGTAATTTGAGTTTTTACTTTTGACAGTTGGCCTCAATTTGGCAGTGTATCTATATGAATTTAAAGTTTTGAACTGAGAGATTAAAGAAACACCAGTAGCTGTTTCTACTAATCTTGCAATAAGATCAGACTTCACTTATTATTATTTCACAGTCTGACACAGATGTAGGTTTGCTATTACACAAAGGACTCTCATCTGGTTTACAACATACTGGATGAAAGCTATGTATGATGCTTTAATTTATACATAGCAGCCTTTTACAGTATAAATGAGTTCACAGGGGTCAAGATACAAAATCAAAACCAAAGAATCAAACCGACAAAGTTCATTTTATCATTTAGATTTTGTTCTTATCCTAATATATATTTCTGAAGTACATTGATAAAGTATAATTGGGAAATACTCTAAAGATGCTGTGACCTTGGGGGGGGGGGGGGGGGGGGGGAGGGGAGGGGTGCGCGGAGCATGCACTAGGGATAATTTCATTAAATGCAGTATGTCTTCTAAAACCAATGGCTATGATGCTATCACCTACATATAAATATTTAGATTCTGCTACACTGTATGCTTTCTCCACTCTAAGTGTCTCCAGTCAGATACCTCTGAAGTTGCATGTAGAGAGCTGGCTTCAGGTCTTGAAAACAGAATTCTCTGTTCAGCAGTAAAATATAGTCCAGGGTTAACCTTAGCTTTGGATTCCAAATAGATTACATTTATAGAATATTCTTTAGGGCTGTAATCATACAGCAGCATAATACATGGTCTACTGCTTGAAGCTATTATATCTCATGAAGGTTTCTATTAATGCCTACTGTCTCAGCCAATTTAATTGATTAGCAACCAGTGAACCTCTGTTTGTGTGTGTCAGTCACTTCAAAAACTGATCATTAGAGATAGGCGAAAAGTGAAATACTCATTTCTTCTGATTGTTTTGGAGTATTAAAAGTAAAACTTCTCCCATAACACAAAACAAATCCAGACCATGGCATATAAAAAAGATGTGTAACCGCTTCCAGAAATATTGATTACATTGATGGAACCATAATAATAAAAATACAGGCATAATGCACAAATGAGCAGGTAAAATTTGTTCATCAGTGATGTGAAGAGGTTGTCATTCACTGAAAATGAGGGACACATTTTCCATCTGTTATTTACTACTGGTACTAAAACTGTTCGGGCAAATGTCCATATGTATTTATTTATTTATCCATTTTCAGCCATAAGCTGTAAATTGTTAAATTGCACTGATTTGGCAAATTACCCCTGAGAAATTATGACAGCAGTTTTACTGGTCTGTGCTTCTCTGTGAACTTTTAATTACTGTAAAAAAAAAAAAAAAAAAGTAACATATAATTGGATTTTTTTTTTTTTTTCTAGCATATGTAACCTGGATGCAAGCAAACACCTAGAATTTGATAACTTTGCTGTCTGTAGAACAGCAATAACTAGGCCAGACAGTAGGGATATATAGCATAGTGCTTTGAGAAAATAGTAAAATTTAATTTCTCTAATAAATGAAATACTGTGGCTACAGGAGTTGGACATGGTAAAAATGTGCGATCAAAATTAGGAAAACAAGAAATACTCATCAATGAAGAAAATTTTACAATTATATTTCTATAATATATTGGGGCATAAGTGCAACAAGTGTGATAGAGAGAATAGAAAACCAAGGATAGAGAACATCTGCCTAATACATAAAAACACATGAAAAATATTAAAAAGGGGAAGGTGATGTTGGAGGATGTGCAGTGGGAAGAAAACAATTGGGAAATGACTGTGTCATTTGAACTGCAAAGGGTAGTAACTCAAGTGATGGTCAACTATGCTTAATTCCCTTTGTCCATAGAAGCTTTTATGAACAGATTTGGACCGCTAATCTTACAATTTGCAATACTACTTTTACATTTTAATGTCAGTCCTAGAGAAAGAATGACTGCAGTTTCTAAAGGAATCATTATAAGGGGAGAAGCCTTACCCTCTAAAACAGATGCTCTCACAGGTAGTGTGGATAAGTAGCATGGTTCAGTGTGAAGCATATTTAACTGTCTCAAGGACTGGGAGTGCATGTTTGACCCCTTTATTATTTATTGGTCAGTTTGTATAAAGGTTATTGCCTCTGCATTTATTCTTAAAATCTGAAAACAAAGATACTGCATAGAAATATTTTTGGAACATAAGGTAGAATATAGGCAAAAGGTCATTGCAGCTAACAGTAATAGATGGGGAAAATACTAAAAATTACTTTTTATTGTCATCGGATATAGCTGCAATATAATACCCAACACAATTGAGGCCTATTAATGTACCTTGTGCCGAAGAGCTCACAGATTCACAGAACCAAAGGCTCACACCTCTGGAGATCGCCCCATCCCAGCCCTGCTGAGACTGTGGCCAGCTACAGCAGGTTTCTCAGAGGCATGTGCAGGCAAGTTTCAGTATATCCAAGAATGGAAACTCCACATCCTGTTCCAGAGTTCAACCATACTCACAGTAAAAATTATTTATTCCTCAGTTACAGTTTGTATTTCCTGTCTTTCTGGAGTTGATGTCTTGGCAAACAGAACTGACTTGGCCAGGGACAAGTTCAGTATTCTCTGTCATTGCAGCAGTGATACCACCCTGTAGTCTTAGTGAAATGATACAATTATTTTGGAGCATATCTTTAATCTATTGGACTTAAAATTAAATGATCAAATTTAGAGATCCAAGTAAATAAACTAAGCATCACTTTATTTTTGGTCATATTCTTTCCCTCAAGGAAATAAATTTTATACTAGTTCAAACATGGAGTAAAGTATACAGCATAGTAAGATTTATATCTAAAATCTCAAAGACAAACACTTACCTTGATATAGAGATGGTACAGGCTACATCTCCCCTAGGGGCAATGCCCAACCATTATGAGGGCTGTTTGAGTCACAGTTTATATCTCAAGGTGGTTTTGATAAAGCACTACCCTGCCACAACCTACAGCTTAGGCAAACCTACAGTAGATCCTTTCAGGTCCCTTTTGAATGTGTGATGCATGTTCAATTACACAGGATTTCAATGGTTAGGAACTCAGTTACTGAAGGTTAAAGAGCTCTAAAAATTGTTTGTTCTATCTTAGAAACTGACAAACTAGAAAGAAATTGCATGTCCCCATGAAATGTCCTTTCATCCCCTTTTTTTTTTCCCCAACATGTGAAGGTATGTGGCTATTCCTCCTGGCCTTTAGGAAGTCACAAGTTCTCTAATTTCAGCCTTTTGCTGGTGAAGAGTAAAATGTTCCTCATTCTAGATCTTTCTAGAGTGAGGTTTGTTTGTGGAGCTGGGTTTCCATTTGTAAGGAGGAGAAATTAAAATCATCTTGACAGACTTCGTGTTGTTTGCTGTAATAAAGTTCAGCTTTTTGATTTGGTTCAGAAGACAGGGGCCTAAGCCTGAATCTTTTGAACACAGTGAACTTTGGCACTCTGAATCATAGAATCACAGAGTCATAGAATGGTTCAGGTTGGAAGGGACCTTTAAAGGTTATCTAGTCCAACACCCGTGCAAGGAGCAACCTTTCAAGGCAACCTGTTCCAGTGTTTCACCACCCTCCTCATAAAAAATGTCTTCCTTATATCTATGTCTTGTATCTAAATCTACCCTCATTTAGTATTAAAGCATTACCCCTTATTTCATTGCTACAGGCCAGACTAGAAAGTCTGTCCCCCTTTTTCTTATAAGCACCCCTTAAGTAACTAATAGGCCACAATGAGGTCTACCTGGAGCCTTCTCTTCTTGAGGCTGAACAACCCCAGCTCTCTCAACATTTCTTCATAGGAGAGATGTTCTGGTCCTCTGATCATTTTTCTGTCCCTCCTCTGGACCCGGTCCAACAAGTCCATGTCTTTCCTGTACTGAGGACCCCAGAGCTGGACACAGCACTCCAGGTGAAATCTCACCAGCATGGAGTAGAGGGACAGAACCACCTCCCTCAACCTGCTGGTCACCTGCTGATTCTTGAGCTTTAATAAGAAACATACCTCCAAGGGAAAAAAACAGATGTCAAAAAGCCCACAGAACTGAAAATGAGGGAATCTTAAGTGATGATGAAGGGTTTTATAAAGTCTTTTTCATAACATATGAATAATCAGGTCATTGCATACTCCAGGCTATTAAAAGTTTACGGAACCCCTATTTATTATGATCAACAGACAGACAGAAAGGTAGACACTGTATTTACAATGTGTGTATAGTAGGACCTTTTGGTGGGAGGCAATAAATTATTTTCCCTGTTCAGCTGATCTTTATAGATTATAGATCACTACAGATCTATATAGATCACTTTAGACCTTAAGTATGTGACATTTCTTCTAAATCTAAAAAGAAGTGTAATACTTCATTGGAGGAAGATTTATGCTTATCTTACTTTTCAGGGTACTGTTAAAATTTTCTTGCCAGTGTTCTTCTCCCTTTCTCTCCTTCCCTTTCTCCTCTGCCTTCCTTTCATCTTTCCTCCCCCCTCTCATCTCTCTTCTCTCTATAATATGAGGGAACTACATTTTAGTGAGATGTCATTTGTCAGTGTAATGTTAACATTACTTTGATAGCTCAAATTAAACACCCATTCTCCATTATCTCACTGGCTAAAATTTGAGGTGGCATTTCTTTGCAGATAATGTCTAAAAGACACATTTTTTTCATCAGAAGGAGATTCACTTTGTTCTTAACCTTGTGTCCTCCATTTATTCTGTGATTCCCAAGCACTCAATATTTTGATGAACTGTCATTTCTTAATGTACTTCTTTACTGTAAGTCAACATTTCTTATATCTCTTGTTGTCATACACTGTTTTCTGCTGGTCAACTAATGTTTCACTTTTTCTCCCCTCTTTGCTGCATTAAAATGGAGCAGTAAACCTGACAGGTGAGAAGTGAAAAGTAATCACTCTTTGTATAATCAATAAAAGATAAAAAAAAAGTTATCATGATAATGATCTAAAACAAAGCAGCTGTCAGTCTAAGTGAATGTAGACAGTAATCTATCAATACAAATGCAACTGAAAGATTTGTTATTTACAGCACTGAAAAATGATGTAACATATGCAGCCTAGTTTCACTGCTTTTTTTTGAGTCTCCATGAGGTACATTTTCAAGTGCCAGCACAACTGTACAATATACATAAGGTTTTATTTGTGTTTTAATTAAATTAAAATAGTGGTTCTTTGCTATAACCAAAGTTGTTGAAGGAATGCATGGTTGTGGTTGAAGTGTTAGCCACTCTAAATCTCCACAATATTACATACACATAAACTCAGTGCTGACTTACAGCTCTACATGTTAAAATATTATGGTTATCTTATTTGTCCTTTGTGGATTTTTTTCTGCCTGTCTCAACACCATTACATAATCTGAAAGAATTGTGATGTCTTGTATAGTCTGGAAATACAAAAAAAATGTCAGAATGTTTCTGAGGATAATAATAACTAACTAATAAACCATTCTATTGTCCTATAAGTATTCAAAATATTCAGATACGTGATTAGATTAATATGAAGTTGTGCTGCCCAGTACTGACTTCCAAGTGGAAAAAAGGTAAATGAAGCTTGTCTCTGGAGAGTTCCACTGATCCCTAGACTTCAGGAGAAGGAAATATAGTTAAAAATACTTCTTGAGAACAGCATCACACACCTTTACTTAAGAAGAAAGAACACTAGGGCATTGTGCTACTGTGGTAGGAGTTTGAGACAGTCAGAATCAAAAGTAAAAAAGGAATTTTAATTGAGTTTCCCCATAATAATTAAAAAAAAAAAAAAAAAAAAGAGTAAAAACAGAACAATCATATTTAAATTTTTATTGCTTCATTAAAGAGGAGTTAATACATTAGCCAGAGAACAGATGGAATGTTTTTACAGGAAACACTTTCCCCACCCTGTCCCTCTCCCCGCTCATAAAATTATTGGACTAGTAACTTTCAAATAATTCCTGCAATGATGTTGCTGTTTGGCTTCTTTGCATAGTCTTTAAAATCTTGCTGTATGCACTTTTCATGAATGCCACCAGCTGTTCATCATTTCAAGAACAGCAAGAAATCAATGGCAGCATTTTTAAGAGCAGAGCCCAGAATAATAACAGATCTAGCATTGTTACCTTGTGAGTCAATTAGAATAAAAAGAAAAGAAAAAAAAAAAAACAAAACAAAAACAACAAAACAATAGTGATATGTTAGAGGAAATATTGGACACCTGGAAAAGATTTTGCTATCATAAAACTTAAAATAATCTCAGTTCCGTTTTCGCAGAGTAACTCTTTGTCACTGTTTGCATCTTCATTTTATATTACATGAAGAATATCAACTAGGTTACATTTTCAACCAGAAACTCACAGAGGACTAGCGGAGAAGATTTCCACTTCAAATTAAAGCATTAAATTTCCAGATCCCTAAATGAACATGCAGAGCGGTAGATACTCTTCATGTAACATAGTTCTCCATGTTTTGCATCAGAAAATGGTACTCTCAAAAGATGGGACTCCGTTTAATCAGAACACTCCGAGTCAGAACACGTGGGCTCTGCTTCTCTCTAGAACAATGGAATGTACACAAATCTAGTTCTTTCTCTTTCTTTTTTCTTTTTTCTTTTTCTTTTTCTTTTTCTTTTTCTTTTTCTTTTTCTTTTTCTTTTTCTTTTTCTTTTTCTTTTTCTTTTTCTTTTTCTTTTTCTTTTTCTTTTTCTTTTTCTTTTTCTTTTTCTTTTTCTTTTTCTTTTTCTTTTTCTTTTTCTTTTTCTTTTTCTTTTTCTTCTTTTTCTTTCTCTTTTTTCTTTCTCTTTTTTCTTTTTCTTTCTTTCTTTCTCTTTTTTTCTTTTTCTTTCTTTCTTTTTCTTTCTTTCTTTCTTTCTTTCTTTCTTTCTTTCTTTCTTTCTTTCTTTCTTTCTTTCTTTCTTTCTTTCTTTCTTTCTTTCTTTCTTTCTTTCTTTCTTTCTTTCTTTCTTTCTTTCTTTCTTTCTTTCTTTCTTTCTTTCTTTCTTTCTTTCTTTCTTTCTTTCTTTCTTTCTTTCTTTCTTTCTTTCTTTCTTTCTTTCTTTCTTTCTTTCTTTCTTTCTTTCTTGCTTGCTTGCTTGCTTGCTTGCTTTCTTGCTTGCTTGCTTGCTTGCTTTCTTGCTTGCTTGCTTTCTTGCTTTCTTGCTTTCCTGCTTTCCTGCTTTCTTTCTTCTCTGTAAATTTCATGTTATATCTTATAATAGTTAACTACCTGGGTGCCCAGAATGATGATCTATGGGATCAGTATAGGGCAGAATGCAACTATTTTCCCTCCAATTTTACTATATTTAGATTCATTTTGCCACTGCAAAGTTTAGTTACTCTACACTGCATGAAGAATTACTTACTTTTGCACTGGATCAAATACTACTTCTTCAGAAAGAAGCATCCCACCTTTAGAATGTAATGATTAAACACTCAGGCACCTTTATTTGTCAAACTAACACCTCAATCTTATGTTTATGTGTATTCACTTTCCCATGCAGGAAGAGGGCTGAATCTGATTCTAGGAAAAGCAGTATACCCAACAGCAAGGAGGTCCCCTCTCACCATCCCACAGACCCTGTGGAGCTGCGACGCCTTAATTTTCAAACTCCAGGTAAGAGACAATAATACCTCACTGAGATCTCTGTGATCACAAACTCATTAGTGGTGCTGTTACAAAACAGAAAGATTGATTGTTTAGAAGAATATACTTTGATTGCTTATGAGGTTTTGCACACTTTATTTCTTTGTTAGTTTGGGGAATAATTCTGTAATTGCTTTAAAGAAAAATCCTGCATGAAACAAAACTAAAGTTCTGTAAAGAAGACACCAAAGTCACATATGTTGTATGGATGTGTTTTATGTGCTGAAATTCCAAGATAAACCTAACAATGCTGGAAAAGATTATTGGGAAATACACATCCTTCTATTTATTAACAGTATTCTTACAGCTGCTTCTTTGTAAATAAGCTTCCCTCCTATCTACTGCATTATCAGGTAATCCAGTAACACCGTTGGACATTTCACTACTTTGCAAATGTACAATACAGAAAAGAACTACTAACTAGAGAAATGGCCTCATCTTTTTAAATGAGTCTATATGTTAGGGTCAAGAGGGATATTAATATGTCAGTAGTTCAGAAGGTAGAAGCAAAACACTCCCAAATACTTTACTTACTTATTTTATTTATTAAGCATTGTTTTCTTAAATCTGTTTGGTTTGATAGTCAAGAAACACCTAGAGGGAAATCCTTAAACTAGTGCTGATTTTTTTACCACCATTTTGTGAGTCAGGTTTTTTGTTTGGTTGGTTGGTTTTTTTAATTGCATTTACTTTGATCATATATTCCAGTAGACTTGTTTTCTGTTAGAATATGATATTACATATAGTCCTGGTCTTATGCTAATTACTTACTGAATCTTCCTGAGCCTTGTGTTTGTCAAATTTTTTACATTAGTTACAAAAAAAAAATAATTCAAACTCTTAAAGGCAGGAAATCACATACTTGAGATGTTGAGAGATTACCTGAAGAAGGTGACATACTAAATGTTACAAAAAGGTTAACTGAACTTGCAAATCTCATTTGTGATCTTCTAGACATTGGCTATAATAAGATAGTGTTGCCCCAGCAAGAGTGGATCTGCAGAGCAATGAATCTGGGGCTAAAGAGTCAACATCCACACTGCATGCATATGGCAGGTAGAAAGGGAAGAGTCTGGAGGCTTGAGTTTTACCCTAACCTTAATTTTTTAGTCCATTTCAGTACGCTGAATGCTCTTAAACAGCTGGGGTAAATTAAAAAGCTAGGTGTGTTTCAGGAATGCATCTTCTGGTTTAGTTTCATCTGAATATGGGAATCTTGTTGATGTGCTCTGGGACCTCTCTACAATATGAACCAAAGTACAGTAAATGATAAAGATTGAAAGTTTTGATTCATAATTGTGCTTCTGAGACTGCAATATTAATGTAGATTCATCCCAACTGATCAAAGGTTTCGTGTGTTATCCAGCATGTTCATAGAAAATTTTAAAGGTTGTTATGGAGAGAGAAGTATTCATACAAGTCTTTGAAACATGAAAAGAAAAAATTACGGTTCTTACAGTTTAGCTTATGCCTAAAACAATTCATTATCCGCATACAGATACCTACTGAGTACAGTGGATGGCTTAATAACTAGGTATATAAGTACAATTTTCTGCTGTCCATATATCTAGATGGGGAGTCTTACCTATCCATTTAATATTCATCATAAATTAAAATAAAACGTGTGCAGAAAAAGTGTTGCCAAGTCTTAACAAATTTACATATAAAAATAATTAATTTATTGTAAATAAATCTAAATTTACATTTAGAATGTAAAGTTATTAAGAAATCTTAGAATTTTTGACACTTGTAGACACCATAAGCCCACCTCATTGATCTGAAGAGAACTGGAGAGGAGTGGAAGTATACCTTTCCTTGCAGTGCTATAGTTTATCCAGAAAGTTTGAAGTTTTCTGTGAAGATACTTGACTAGAACATCTGCAATCCATATCTACTATGAGGTCTTTTTATTTGCTGTAAACCTTTCCGTGAAATAGAGGATTAAAATTATTATTAAAAATTTAGAACAGAAATCAAATTACCATGTTTTTTCCTACTATTGTACCACCTGGGCACATGTCAGGCCATTGCATAAGTCAGCATGCAACCAAATATCAAGGAGAAAATTCCTACCATGGGAGATTTGTCTTGCATTGTAACACTTGCTAATTAACATGTCCTTAAAATGTAATCTTAGCCCCAGCAAAGTCAAGGTACAGTTCTTGTGCTAGTAACAGCAGAACCCCAGTTAACGCACATTAACTTCAATTAGGGCTCCGTTTAGTTAAAATCCAGATGAATTTAACTTAGATACGTAGACCCTGCTGGAATGTTCATCCAACTCCACACAGTAACACTCTGTTGAACTACATGCAAGACAAAGTTTTTCAAGACAAATGTAGAGAAACTACAGAAAGGCTGTACACTCTGGATACCAATTTTGTTGGTTTTGTTGTTCTTTCACTCTGCAGAGGGTAGTTTTTACTTCCTACAAGGTAGTAGTAGGATACCACTGGGGCAAATCAGGCAGCTGAGAGAAGGGATGGGGACTGATGTGTTTATCTGTTGGGTTTCTTTTACTGAGACATCTGCAGTTACCCTCCTACAATGGCCTTATCTACTCCAGTAAGATGTTACCATATCTGAGCATTGCATACAGATAAAATAATGACCATGGTGAATGTACTTTAATAATCAGAGTATGACATGTCAGTACAACTGCATCAAGATAGATGACTTGACATCATTGTTGTTATAATGATTCATTTATGTTATGAAAGCATCCAGAGTTTGCTTGAAGCTTTCCAAGCACAGCAGTTGCTTCCAGTGGGAGGAGAAAAAAAAAAGTTTATAATGAATCCACGAGTGCAGAAGTGTTAGAGAAGAAAACATACCCAGATTGCCAGTTTCCACTGGGAGAGGTGAATGAGCACTCCTGTAAAATTCTGGATTGTCATAAACTTTAATACTTTAAAAGATTTCTAAACAGCCTCTTTCCAAAAATTCTAGCAAACATATATTTTGTGTAAGGAAAGGTCTGATCAGATACAACTATCAAAATAGTTTTAAAGAGAAACACTTGTGGTAAATTTTAATTTCTAACCACAAGTACAAAATACTCCTGATACAAGTAGTTAGGCATAATTTTTTGAAAGAAATTATGGGAAGGCAATATTTTATCTTTGATGATACTTGGGCAATTAGTCACTGTTATGTTGCACTTATTGTAAAATTGTCAATTCTGCATGAAGATATAAAAATGCACAGTCTAAACTACAAGCACAGCAAATGTCTTGCTTTTCTTTCACTTTTTTTCTTGTCAATAAAGAACTTAATTCTTCACTAATGTAGTAATTACCTAAAGGGTTTCCTATTTTACCTTGTCCAGTAAGGGTCAAATTCATCTCTAGCTTCACTCCTCACTGTGTGGAGTAACTCCATAGATAAATTTGCCATTTTGTCTTGACATTGGGAATAGCCCGTAGTTCTACATCTGAGAACAAGATCGCATGTCCATCTGTGTTACCCAAAAGTGTATGTTTGTTAGATGAGACTATATGCCAGTGAGTGGGTCACAGCTGTGCCACATTTTCTTTGAGTAAACATGAAAACATGCCATCTCTCCATAGCATACAGGATTTCAATTAAAAGTCTGTTATTATTCTGGAACTGAAGTACCTGAGGAAAAGTCAGTCACGTTCTTCCCATTCTGCTAGTTTCCTATGACATACAGGATAAAAATCATGTTAGAAATCTCCATGTCACATAGGAGAGTAGAAGTAGGGAAGTGGTAGTAATTAAACCCTCACAAAAGGTTTCATCAAATGAGGAAGCCTGGATTTGCATTGAGGAAAATGACTGATGTTAAGATGTTTGAGTGGGTTATGAGAGACCCAAGGCTCAAAGATGTTGATCTGCCAATCAGCCAAAGAACTAAATTGAGACATGCCTCAAAAATGACTGCTTTTTTTTCCACATTTAAGTATAAAATATGTCACATTTATAAGTAATTTGTGTAATTGGGTGCCAATTAAACAATTATCTCATTATCTCCTATGAACTAAATAAGATGCTTTGAAATACAAGAAAAATAAATAGAATTATTATTGCTCTGAATTAAAGACTCTGCTTTTTTGCTAGATAAGTGCTCACAAAATAGTTATTCCCCAAGTTCCTAAGGAAGTTCCACTGATTTATTTCCAAGATAAGGCATGAAAAGGGTAAAACAGGTCTAGAGGAAAAAGGTACAAATAACAGAAGTGGAAAAAGTGATGTCTAAATTTAGTCACCTGCTTTGCAAGATAGCAGGAAATTTCTTCCCTTAGTTTATCTACACAATTTCTGTTTTTGAGAAACATGGCAATGCTGAAGGAAGTACTGTGGTTTGACTCCATGGTAAAAACAGACTGGAGTATCTTTCTCATGGTGAGCAATACTACACACAGCTCTTCATGCGATCTTGACTAACGTGAAGGATTTAGGCACCTAAAAAAGGTATAGGCTTTAGAGTGCAAAGGGCACTTCTGTGTTATCACACTTGGTTGCTTTCAAACTTAGGGGCAACTAAAACCTGCCTAGTTGGGAGATGGAGTTGAAAGTTTTGCTCTTCACAGTAGTAATTTTCTTCCTGTGTTTTAGCCAGTTGTTTTTCAATGTGTTATTGTGCTGAACAGTTTTAGATCAGGGTCTGAAAACTACATCTCCCCTTTTCTCAGTGCAGATGGCTTTTACACCTCGCTCAGAGCTGGGACTTTTGCCATAAGGCTACAGAGCCACTAGGGCTGCTTGTTAGAGCTAAGTCTTGATATAGAACAAAAATTACTTTAATTCCAGAGTAGTTAATCCAGATTTGAAGAACATGAACACTTCCGGAATAAAAGTGACTTAATTTTGCAATATTATATGCACATCAGTAACTGTTTTAGAATAGCTTATGCATAACAACGTACTTCTCTGGAGCTAATCTTGTAAATTTAGTTTGTACACAACATGTAAGATCACTCTATAGTTTAGCTCTAATGGTATGAAAAAGAAATTTTAAAGTAACAGTATTTTTTTTGTCAAATATACTAAAGGCATGCTTGCTAAATTTTCATGGATGCCAAATTCCTACTAAATCAGGGTAATTTTTAATTTTTTCCATTTTCCATGTCCAAATTTTAAATATGTATTTCTTTCTACCATTTTGATAAGGGTAAGTGTCAGTAACAGTCACCACTGTTACTGATTCCTTCCTTTTCCTGTAAAGGGACAATATCCGAATCAACATAGATTGGTTTGTGGGAGGGTATTATGTGTTATTAAATAAAAATGAGGATGTAATAAATCAGTTTTTAAAATCACAGGGTATTAATTGTATATGGACCTGAAATACAACTCATTCCATTAAGAAATTTCTGTGAAAATGTGTCACATTTTCATTTCAACTAGGCTGTAGTCTGTATGCTAGAAGCTATTCATTTAGTTTAATTTCTAACTTCCTTCTTGGTTATTGTGGTCATGTCAACCTACAGATCCAAATTTGTAAATAAATGTGTGTTTCTTAAATGTTTTTAAAAGCCCTTACTGTGAAACCCTGACAGCGAACAGAATCCTAATTTAACACACTAACGACAAGGCCAAAACACCCACTTGTTTCAGTGGGGTAAAGGAGTATATTTAACAGGTTTAATGTCTGTTAATATGCAGATGAATTCTGACCTTGGTCTCTCAGTTTTTCCTTGAAATTGTGGCACATATGGTATCCCATGTTCCATAGTCATGTATTTAACATAGATTAACCAGAGGATAATCCTACACTGTAATTACACCATACATTCTCATTTAGATCAGTCATATTTGACAATCTTCTACCAAATCTGGAAATAAAACCTTCTTATGGATAGAATTTCGGCTGTGTTTTGCATGAGATGGTTTTGGGATTTTTGTTCCTGTTTGAGTTTTTAAGTGTTTTTATCTCTTTATTTTCTTATTTTAAAAAAAGTTTGAAAGCATGTTTTCAGCATGGTATTTCTTTTGACTTTTTAGCATGCCACAGGATCTGTTGTAATTTAGCTGTATTTTGTCTTTAATTTTTTGTGTTTTCATAGCATATGTTGATTGATGTGGAGGTGTGTCAGCAAATAAGTGTACTTTCTTACTTGTAGCCACAAAAATAAGTGTGATTAGCTGTATTTTGGGTGGGTTTTTTGAGTCAGGTTCTACACCTGCTGTTCACATACAACTCACATTTAAACTCAGTAGGAGCCTCATGCTTTTTCATGAGATATGATGAGATCTTAAAATGTTCATTCATAGCATATTCTGTTATGATGCTTGTTATGATTCATAGACTTATTGCATAACGGAAGTCGTCCAGCAGTTCTTTTAAAAAGTAGATACTTTTATCATCTCAGTAGAGTACATTTTGTATACTTAAAAGATGGAAATACACCAAATGCAATTACTTCACTTCAGAAGTTAACAGCAAAATATTTGAAGAAACTTAATATGTGAGCAAGTGCCTAAAATGAGTTGTGGAGAAAGGGGTTATATGCAGTCAAAATTTGTCAATTTCTGACGTTTTATGTAGTTCCTTCTTTTCCTCAGAAAATGAAGTTTTATGTCAAGTTTCATTTTGCATAAAGTGTTTAATATGAAATCTCCCCCTAGGAATGTCAAGTGGCATATAGAGAGCCATATAAACAAAAATAGTTTAAAAAAGAATGGATGTTCAGCATCTTTAAAAAAAAATCCTTCACAGTAAGCTAATTACTGAGATTTGTGTTCATGATGCTGGTGATTTAGTCAGGTTCAGCATGTAATGAGCAAGTCTCATTCTGTTTGGTTTTATGTCCTTTATGTTTACAGTAGGGTAACTGGACCCTTAGACATCTTCTTAGTTGAGTTTCCAGACGCTGTTTTCTGCATGTCTGAAGTGCCTGTATGTACGAGATTGATTGATTATGATGGTCTACTGCTGTTACTAATTTGTTTCCCATTTCCAATTGGCTTTTACTTTTTACAGCTTTGAGCAGTAATTCAGTCCCCTACGCCTCCCTGATTGGCTCTGTGTCCTCCCTCTCTAGCCAAACTACCACTCAGTCCTTATACGATAATAACTCTCTCCCACGATTCGCTCGAAAAGGTCTAAACATCTTTGTCTCTATTATTTTCTCTGTTCAAGCACTGTTTTAGATGTACATCAGTCCACCTCCATTTCTGGATCAATTTAGAGTTCTCTTGTGCCTTTTCACTCATATTTTCCATAGGGGTGCTTGATCTGGATCAATCAGTATAATTATTAGATGACTGTCACCCACACTCATTTTGAGAATAGCCAAGTTCTATTAAGAAAAATTTCTAAGAAATGGGAGACAACCAGAACGGATTCAAATAAATTAGTACTTATGGACTAATTTGTTAATTGAAATTTATAAAAAAATCTCCCCATTATATCTGAATATTCTGCTTTGTTAGTTGACTGACAGCTTGCCTTAATATTTCCTTAAAATAATGTCTTACCATCACAGATGTGCAAAGAAGGTAATATATAAATATATATATATAAGGTCAGAAGAATTAGGGCCAGTACTGCTGAACATTATTTTGGACTCTAGTATGATGTCTGAAATATCAAAGAATCAAAAAAAAATCAAGAATTTAAAAAAATGAAAAAGAAGAACATGCTGTAGTGTGACTGTGTTGTAACCACATGGTCATTTTCAGCTACATTTACAGGAAAAGCAAGTTAACTATTTTAGGCATGCTCTTGAAACTCACGGTGACAAAGCAAACTGCATTGTGCAACATGGCTTCCAGCTTGAGCCCCCTTGAGTCATCACTGTTTTCCCTTTGTAATTTCAAGAGATCCTGGGGTTCACTAGCTTAATTTTTCTAGCCAGCTCTGATTTCTTCCCACAAACAATTGAAAACTCACTTTCATTTTAGGTGTGATAGTGTAAAGCATGAAGAGAAGAATGTAAGCATTTTGGAGAAGGGTTGTGAAGACTAATAGCGTGAAAGAAACGTTCACAAATTTTTGCCTGGCAAATCTTCAGCTGGCAAATTGTTCTAGTTGACCCCACATCTTTTCTGTCTTTCTTTTGCCTTGCTGTCCCTATAGTCCCTTCCAGACCTATCTCTATCTCTGATTCCCAGCTCTCCTTCTTCTTTTTCACTCAGCGTCTTCATCAGTGGACAAAGATGTTTACACCTGAAGTAGATTGTAGGTACTTTTGGGGGTTGATATATGGGGTTTCAGATTAAGCATATTTTAAGGTAATAGTGCAGTCAGTATCTGTGTCCAACCAAACTGTACAACCCCTGCCTCTACAATCTGCTACTAGTGAAAACATTTTTGAAGTTCCAATTGTCTGATGTCCAATGTTGTCTTCAGTGACTGTTGTCTAAAAGCAGTGGTGCATGTTTTTCTAGTCATTCATAGTTGCATGTCAGTCACCTCAAAATTTCATAAAATATTTAAATATTTCTAATTTAGTCAGAATATGTAGTCAGTCTTCTAGATTTTGGTGCTTTATTATTAATACTCAAGCTATCCATTTCATTTTTTAGAATTTATTTTATAAGTTGGTTTTTATGTTGGTTTGACGTTTCTTTGGTTTTTACCATTTCCTTTGCAGGTTCAGGTGTCTCTGGTTACCTCGGTAACCTTCATTCTTCAAGTTCGTTTTTCTTGATTATGCATAAGTCACTTTGTTTTCTGTCAAAACACTACTCTTTCCCCTTTAGGGCTCTTTCAGTGTTTCTCAGCTCACCTTTCCTCATCTAATTCAATGGAGTCTCCATTTCATGCAGTGCAGGAGAAGGAGTTTGAAATTACATTAAGAGTCATTACTCAAAGCAGAGGTCAACATCGGGTGTAACTGTCTCATTTTTCCATGCCTAGCTAACTTCATTCACTCATATCACAGTAACTCTTTTCTTGACACTAGGAATGTTAGCTTTGGAAATATGCTTGGTGACTTCTTTTAATTTGGCTTCAGATCTCATCTATCCAGAGCATGTCCTGCTTTGAGTAACCAAACTTTGCCTGCTTCTCTCACATATGACATCGTTACTACTTACACATTTCTAGCCATTCTAACTACTGTATTTTCTAAATTAGAGCGATGCCATCACTGTAGTTTACTTTAAATTCTGTTCTTCCTTCTTACTCAACAGGTATGGCCAGTCATCCCCCAATACCCATCTTGGAACTTGCAGACCACATTGAAAGACTGAAAGCAAATGACAATTTGAAGTTCTCACAGGAGTATGAGGTAATTTCCCCCACTTTTTTCTTATTCAAATTGTTTAAAATGTCATGCTTTCTGTTTTCTTAGACTTTCTCTGTTATGTACCTACCCCAATGATGCCAGTTTTGTATGATGTTAAAACCATGATAAAAGAAGTTCTCTATGTAAAATTACTATGTTGGTGAGGTGGCTTCTTTGCTTGTAACAATTTTTTCTCTTTTTATAACGTTGTGTCAAGCAGATTCCATGGACGCATACTTGAAGTACTGTGTGAAAGATACAGCACTTACTCTTTGTAATATACACAAAGATCCATCTACTCTGCAGTTGAAAGGTCCTTAGATTGTTTAAAAAATCTCCTGTGTAGTGTTGACATGACACATACAGTACAAGTTCCAATGAAGTTACACTCCTCTGTGTTAATTTTGCACACATTAAAATAATTTGCAATTGTCTGGTGTCTTCCCTAATATAACAGTTTCAAGACATTGTATTTTCCTCCTTTCAGTAATGCCACATTGATAATCTGTGAATGATGGTCTATAAAAGTATGCAAGAATTTAACTGGAAGAGAGTAATCATTTATCATAGAATCACAGGATGTTTTGGATTGGAAGGGACCTTAAACATAAGTTATTTTCAACCCCCCTGCCATGGGCAGGGAGACCTTCCACTAGATAAGATTGCCAAAGCCCATTCCAAACTGGCCTTGAACTCTTCTAGGGAGGGATCATCCTCAACTTCTCTGGGGAACATGTTCCAGGGTCTTACCACCCTCATAGTAAATAATTTCTTCCTTATATCTCATCTAAATCTGCCCTCTTTCAGTTTAAAATCATTATCTCTTGTCCTATCACTACACTCCCTGATGAGTATTCCCTCTCCATCTTCCCTGTAGGCCCACTTTAGGTACTGGAATGCCACTACAAGGTCTCCCTGGAGCCTTCTCTTCTCCAGGCTGAACAACCCCAATTCCCTGAGCCTGTCCTCATATGGGAGGTGCTCCAGCCCCTGATCATCTTCTTCATGGCCCTCCTCTGGACCTGCTCAAGCAGGTCCATGTCCTTCTTCTGTTGGGGTCTCCAGAGCTGGGTGCATCATTCCAGGTGGGGTCTCATAAGAACAGAGTAGAGGGACAGAACCACTTCCCTCAACCTGCTGGCCGTGCTTCTCTTGTTGTAGCCCAGTACACTGTTGGCTTTCTGGGTTGCAACTGCATATTTCTGGCTCATAGTTTTCCATCCACTACTACTCCCAAGTTCTTTCTCCACAGGGCTGCTTTCAGTCCTCTCATCACCCAGCCTGTATTTGTTCATGGGATTGCCTAGACCCACGTGCAGGACCTTGTGCTTGGCCTTGTTGAACTTCATGAGGTTTGCAAGGGCCCACCTCTCCAGCCTTTCAAGGTCCTTCTGGACGGCATCCCTTCACTCCAGTGTGTCGACCGCACCACACTGCTTGATGTTGTCAGCAAACTTGCTGAGGGTGCACTCAATCCCACTGTCCATGTCTCCAACAAATATGTTAAACAGCACTGGTCCCAATACTGACCCCTGAGGAATGCCACTCATCACTGCTCTCCACTTGGACATTGAACTGTTGACTGCAACTCTTTGAGTGCAACCATCCAGCCAATTCCTTATCTACCAAGTGGTCCATCCATCAAATCCATGACTCTCCAATTTAGAGACAAGGATGTAGTGTTGGATAGTGTCAGAAAATTTACAAGCCACTTTGTCAGTAATCCATGGTGTATACCTCCCCAGACAGGCATTGGGGAGTAACAGCCTCTCACATCAGTAATTTGTGGCTAAAGAGACTTACCCATCCATTAAGCACATTAAATTATAGCAGTTTCTTCGGTGCCAATATTGTCTATGTCAAAACTCTGTGGATAAAGTATGCACTGAACCTTCAGAAAAATAATGCTTCTTTAGAGTATCTATGGGTGGTCATGTCAATGATCCAAGGATTAACAGCTCCCCAGGGGATCAGTGACACAGTATTTTCTTTGTAGTCTGCTGTGTCACTAATCCTTGCTTAAAACCCCCCAAGCCTTTGTTATAGTGGTAGAGTAAAAACTGATGTTACTCTCATTTTTATAGGAACTGCACATTCATTGCATTTGAAGGTTCATATGAACAGTGACAGTGCACTAAAAAACACTGAAGAAGACTTTCGCATGTTGGTTCCATAGTAACATGTGACTGCATGGTACAGAGATCCTGTAAATGCCCAATGTATTTAAAGTCTTGACAGAGAATGTTAAAAATTAATACTAATTACTATCATAGAGAACTACAGTTGCTTATTATTTAATTGAATTCATTGTTCAGAAGGACCTTAGGACTACTCTAAAAAATAATCCCATTAGATGTCAAAAGGAAAATATAGTCTCACCAATTCATAGAAATAAATTTGTTTGAAGAATATCTCAGGGTTTCTGCTTACTGTTGCAATCACAAAAAGTGTGGAATATCTTTTCACCTTTCTGTGTGTAAATCCTATATTCTTAAGTAAAAATATTGTAGCATAGAAAGAATAAGACAGTGAAACTTATGTAACCGAATGTTCACCATTAAAAAAGCTACCATTTGGTACAAATATGATGGAACATTTCCTGTTGTACTGTGGGCAAATTCCTTGGAATATAATGTAGTATAAATTCCATAAAAATAAACAAAACACCTTTACTACTTTCTGAACATGTTGTGGAGATGACATGGTTCTTCTTATGCTGTAATATAACTTAAAAGTATTGGTGGCTTATATTTCCTTTATTATTTAAATCATTAAAATAATCTGAGAACATAATCTTAACCATTTATAGCCAGCATTGTGAAAATACATTAAATCATTAAATTCTTAATATCTGTCCCTCCAGAACTTTTTACCAGTCTGTGTAAACAACCTAGCTTTCACATGTGGGCAACTGTAGGTCAACACTGAGCTTCATTCACGTGACTTTGCTCAAGGGGGTTCAACATTTATCTTTGAAATCTCAGGTCTAGAGATACCACTTCTTTTCCATCTACTCCAAGGTTCATCCATATTGAAACAGAATTACTTAGCAGTATTTGATTTCATAGTCTAGTCTAGTCAGTGGACTAAGGCTGCAGTTTGATGATCACTGTAAGTCATCTCCCTATCTTGGCTGTGCATTCCTGTTGTCTCTCTTTTGCCAATCCTGGCACTAGCGCATGTGCAGCTGTTCAAGGATTATCTCAGGAAATAGACTCAGCTGAAAACTAATTGTTTTATTTTTCTTTGCTGTTTTCAGTTGGATCAGTTCCCTGAACTAGCTCACCACATGGCTGCATGAGCTCTAGTGCCAGCACAAAGGAGCTGGTGGGAACATTTGTAGCTGGGGAATGGGACCTTCTCTTTCTGTAGCAGTCCTCACTAACATCCCTTAAAAGAACTATCCAGTTCTGAGGCAGATATGGGTACAGATGGTAACAGTTCAATTATTATCACTTCAGATTATCATTGAACTGGTGACAAAGAAGGAAAAAAAGGTGCTTTTCATCTTCAAGAGTTAAAGGTGTAACATGCAGGAGGAAACCACTGACCTTTACTGGTAGTAATAAAGTCTTGCAGTTAATTACCATTTAGGGAATAAACATTTTCCATCAATTACCACTCATTAATCATTTTATATATATATATATAATGCCCTTTCCTCCTCGGTATTTCATTATTATATTTTACATTTTATGGAATTGCTTACATTTCATGGATGAAATTCTTCAAAAATAAACTGATAGTGTACAACAACTGTTACAACAACTTCATGAAACCATATATATACAGTTTCCTGATGGACACTGACTTCTTATTCAGCTTGTAGAATTTCTTTCAGGAGGTTAGCGCCATTTCAGAAGGATGTTTTAATTTTTTTTTAGCACACCATATTTTAGTTGCCACTTCAAAATAATTACTTTTTTCACAACTCAAACACATCTTTCCATATGCACCTTTTTCAGCTCTTCAGAAGTATTTGAACACTTGCTCCTCTTCCATCCTTGCTCCTGTTCCACCCACTGCTGTTTGATCAGAATTTCTGATCAAAATTGCATACAGATTTTTCTCCTTTTGGGAGAGTATCACTCCCTTGCCTGTTCCCACTTTCTCTTCAGACAGACAGAAAGCTCCCCATCTCCACTACTTCCCAAAGAGAGAAAAAAGTTATTTCACAGGAGGTGCACATCTATGTGCTGCCTCCTCTGCTTATTTATACTCTTTGGCATAATTTTCCAATGAAAACCCCTAACTTCTTTGCATCCTTCCAGGGAAGGTGAAAGAAAACTTCTATGTAGACCTGGACCATGAGAGAAGACAGGATTGTTTTTTTCAAATAATCCTAAATTCAACCCACTATTCTTCATTCATCTTGCACAAAGTTTCCCGAACAGAGCTGGGTTGGTTTGTGATTTCTTTTTTTTTTTTTTTTGTTTGTTTTTTTTTGTTTGTTTGTTTTTTTGTTTTTTTGTTTTGTTTTGTTTTCTGAGAATGTGTTCCTTTTTGTGCTTTGTGAAACCTAATTGAGAAAGAATATGAAATTACCGTTAAAAAAATAAATCCAAACTGAATCCCTCTGCACTCTAGTTCTGAAGGGAACACCCAGGGTAATGGCTCAAGTTGAGAGAGTAGGTATTGCAAAAAAGTAGCAAGATGCATAATTTTAACTATATATTCTCAGGGGGGGGAAAAAAAAGAAAGATAAAAAGTAGAACCCTTTCATTGCTATGATGTGGTAAAATGAGTTTATTCTCCAGTGTAGACCATCTTCTAACTGTGTAATGTTTTCTGAGCTTCGATGTCATTGATTGGAGTAGTTCCTACTTCTATAAGGCTTCAAAATCTATTTCATAGTGTCTTCTTCAGGTCCTATCCTACCCCAGCTCTTACAGGGGATGATCATGAGAACAGTGGAGACTTCTATCATTATACTTCTATCACTACTTTACCTTGAACACCAGGTTTCATGAGATAACAAGTCAAGCCTTAAAGATTATTAATAT